TTCCAAACTCTGTAGTTATACTAAGAAACCGAATACAAGTCTGAAATGAAAGATTCGAATCAATTAGTTTAAGAATAATTCAATAGCCAAGGCCTTCTTTACTTTCGATATGGCAGAGAGCACGAATATTTTTACTCTCCAATTTCTTGTCTTGCAATAGTATTATTGTAGTTATTCGGACGGAAAAAGATGTAATCAACTCTATGACAATCCCAAAGAAATTGCATAGAATGTAGCAGACTAGAATAGATTGATGATGACACAAAATAATCAATGAACATGGCCTACACTTTCCACATGAAATAGCAAAGGAGAATTTTTTACTCTCCAACTTCTGGTCCTTACATAACGTTATTTCTGTGGTTTCCTCAAACTCTGTACTTATGCAAAAGAAACCGAATACAAGTCTGCGGTGATCGATCAGAATAAATTAATTAGAGAATAATGCAATCAACTAGAGATTTACTTTCGATTTGATATAATATAAGAATATGCTTACTCTCCAACTTCTTGTCTTCCGATAGCGTTATTTCTGTTGTTATGACGGAAAAAATGAAGAATCTAACGCTATGCAAACTTATACAAAATGATAGACTAAAATAAATTGGCTTGACAAGAATTCAACGAGTAACGCATTGACTTGCAAAATGAAAAAGTTATTGTAGAATGCTTACTGTCTAACTTCTTCTGTTTCGAGAAAGCTAATTGTCTTGTTATAATGGAGAAAAGTTACTATCATTAGTTCCAACCTAGTCAAAAGGTTGATACAATTTGCTCAATCATTCTATGCGATATCACAGATCGAAAAGATTTTGCAGCAGGGTTATCGATGATTATTGTAGAAGTATCCGATCATGACACCAATCAACCAATCCGAATATTTTACAGCTGAATAACATTTCTGTCATTATCCAAGTTCAATTAGTTTTCAACTTCCGCTGAGATAATGAACCTATTAACACCCAAAGATCGGCAAGGCTGCCTGGATTATTCCATTCTCTACTTTTGATGGCTGTCATCTACTGTATTTTCTGACTCTAATCAGGACAATTTTATAGACCATCCCGATGTCACACATCAGTTCATTTTCTCTCTCACACCGCTGGATCCACTCCTTTCTTTTTCCATGATTTTATTTTCCAAGCTGAAAAGAGCTAAGGTAACTTACAATATCTTGGATACTACAAGTCAATGAAGAGAAATAGTTTTTTTATTTCGAACTAATTCAATGATGGAGTCAGGCAGAAGTAATCCAATAGATTCTTTACTTCCTCTTGTATGCTTAATGCCCATTCTTATATGTAGCTATCGCTTGATCTATTCCATAAGTGATTTTTAATCTAATCATGCATTTTCAACAGTAATATACCTATCTTGTGTAATAATTTTAGTTCACTAAGTTCCGTCATTGACTATTTAACAACATAAGAGAGTCTGATTTTACTCTTTATAACACTTGGATCAGCATGTTGATGCCAACTTTAAAATTATTCATAACGAATGAAAAGATAAATCGATTACTACTTGCTTTATTTATATTACTCATGCAATCGTTGCCATCGTTTCCACATCTCGACTGATTTTACCAAGCTAAATATAGTATCGTAATTTCTGCTTCTTTTAGACTGTTTGCTCTATTTCCGTTATCATGAAATCGTTGCAATCATTTGTTCGTTTGCACTTTTTCGCGTATGATTCTTTAGCAAATTGACTTGGCACTTTATTCAATTAGCTTGTTGTGAAATTTAGTAATCGTAAAATTCTTTTCGAACTCTTCACAATTATAATCTAATTAAATTTTACACAGTACACATGGATGTTGACTGCTCTACTTTCTTGAACTATGAGTAATTCCTAATAGTATCTAGCACCAAAAACTGTACTCGATTGTCCTAATTTAAGACTATATAGTTTATTTATAGCGGGTGGTAAGCCCTTTCTATTCCGGTTATCCTTCAAAACTATAAATAAAATCCTCCAATGGATCATCAAAATAGAAAAAATATTGACAGACTAATTCTGTGACGGAAGAGAAATAACGAGTCATTAATATCCATTAAATATTATAAGTGAATGCTTTTAATGAATCGTGCAAATAAAATTAACAATAATAACTAATTCTGAGACGAAAAAATGACATCGACGAGTATGGGAAAATCGATGGTAAAATCCTTGTCTTGTTATCCAAATTGGCCAGTATTATGTTTTCATGTTAAAAGCTCTATCTTGCTGACACATCAAAATCTGCTAAACAACTTAAAGATTCGAAATCTACCAAGTTAGAATTTGTTTTCTGGTATCGTTTATTGCACTAATCGTTGAATATGCTTTCCGATTAATTAATATTAGCAAGCTAGCAGAATTTTAAACCAATCGCTGCGAGATAATGATTTCGTCGTGATCTTGAGTTAAACATTATGGCTGAGATTGTTCATCAATTTAATTGAATCGTAATGCCTAACGAACCGGCTTCGTCTTATTTTAATAAGTTACGGTCCAACCAACTCATAGAGATCATCGTATTGCGATTCAACGGATTAATAAACTGCAGTAAAATCAACTCAATGGGATCCATATTAATTTAGACTGGAAAAGGCTACTTGATAATGACTATGCTTTCACGTTCAATTTTGCCACTTAGGCCTTACATTATTATCCGATCAATTGTTTTTGAACTGTATTCCTGTTCGCCGCATCTTTATTGAATTTCCATTTGAGCAAATAATTATCCACGTCATTGCTTAATAAATAATGGCATTGATGTATAGCATTTACGTAATGATCTATAGTAGAAAGGAGCAAACATGGTTATTTTTCTATCTAATGATTGAAGTCCCATTAGAAAATAAAGCTCTCCTATTTTCGTAGCCAATTGAAACGCTTTCAAGTCATAAGTGTAAACTTACCAAAATAAGCTTATTAGCAATCCTAATAGATAAAGCTTCCTCTTTTCCGTTCTAGATTTGTATAAATTTAACTTCTTTATCTGACTGAAAGAAGTCATTTCTTACAACGCTATTTTATGAAGAGCTTATAGCTAGTTGAATAGAAAGGGAATAAATATCGGGTATGAAAATGCACCTCGTTAAATCACGGATTAAAAATACCGACAGAAACTTAATAATTAAAAAGATTGTGAAATAATAAGTCAGCTAGCCTTTCTCGATAAAGTGGAGGATTATCAGTGTTCCCTTACGAGACTGATGCACTTATGGCAAACAAGGAAATGCTAGTTTTTTTTATGACCGATATCAAATCCTATTAATGCGAATTAACTAAAATTGGAGGATTACAACAATTTCTGTTACGAGATTGATGCACTTATAACAAATAAAGGAAATGCTAGTTATTCGTTGCCGATATATAATTAGGATGAGGGCACACCATCTATTATTAATAGAGCTAGTGAGGATGCAGAATAGATTCATCCCCGTATGATCGATTAATATCCTAGCTAGGAGTAATAATCTCAAGTACAGTGGCATCGCCGCTACTATAATTCTAATCGCCTTATTTTAACCAAAGCGAGCAGAGCTATATCCAGTTAGGAATAATAATCTCAAGTACAACGCCATCGTCGATGCAGAATTATAATGGTACTATTGTCGTCAAAGACGAGTAGATCTATAGTATAATAGAATGTGTCCCGTTTGTTATACATTTATTATCACAGATTTTCGTTTTACAAATAAGGATTTCAATGTGCGGCTGCCAAAATAGAATTATAATATCATATTGGTATCATAAATTTTTTAGTTCAGAAATAAGAATCTCAATGTATAGCTGCTTAAATAGAATTTAAGTTTTAATAATCGATGAAGAGCAATTACGGTAGAGCTCCTATAATTGGTTTTCTGGTAGGAAGTTAGATACTCAAGTTTCTTTACTGTCTTTAATAATTTAAAACTATTCATATCGAACCAAAATATATTCATTTATGTTCAGCCACCTGAAAAATTATGCTTGGAGGAGAAAATGAAATCAATTGTCGCATAAATGAGTTATAAACATTACATTAAACATCTTATTTAATTAAGAAACAACAAAAATAGAATATTATAATCCAAATTTGGTTAAATATAGCCAAACTATTACCTAGTAATGAATGGATTCATTTTTATGAAGTAATTCAAATGATTGATTTTTTTCCATTTCTGATTTCAGAAATACAGCAACTAGCTGGGTAAAAATTTCCCTTCGAATTGATACGAACCATTCCTAAGCATCATTATCGTGATTTAGAAAAAATCAATAGGATAATAATTATAGTGGCTTCAACCTAGAATTGTACCGTATAGAAAAGATATTACTATTATTTCGAAAGATTTACATGCCGTATGCTTGGCATAGGATGCTATTTCAAAATTATTAAGTAGCAATTAAACATAGAATATTTGGTAGAGGTTACATTGGCGTTTTTCTCAGTTTGATTGAGAGAAAAGAATTAGATTTAAAGACAATAAGATTTTCTAAGTTATCATCTGGTTTAATAGAATGAAAATATATGGTCCAGAATAATCTCTCTGTTAAGGTATGACCAGAATTGCTTACTTGATCACTCACGATCGTTAGCTAACTGTTAACGTTAACAGAATTTGGATGCTGTTACTTTTGCGAACAAATTAACGAATAGAATATCGTAGCCAGAATAAATTAGAGCCAGAAAGGTGCTAATGGTATTCACAATCAGTGCATGATTAATTGATCATTATTTCAATAATTCCATTGCACACAAGCTATCAAGAGAAAATTTATCAACCAAACAGATACGTAAGAATATTATTGTCAAGTCTTGTTTTTATTATATGCCATAATTTGGTATTCCATGATCTTCTTATAATCGGAAAATATCAACCGACAAGGAAATTGGGTATACGCCTATACAAGTTCTTATTAAACTGGTAGAGCAGCATCATTACCAACCTTTATATGGTCTAATTATCTAAATTTGGTATTCTTTCACTTATAGCTGATCCATTTGTCAAAATCATTAATACCCAATGGTTACTCACGAATCAGCCGTTAAATTGGTTGCTGTGAATGGCTCAACAATCACAAGTGTAATCTTTATCATCTTAGTGTCGATGATTGCATTTTGTGGCAACCTCTTAGTTTTCTACGTCGTAGCTCGAAATCAGCAATTATACACATATACCAATGCTTTTATCATCAATATCGCAGTATGCCATTTTATAGCATCCATTATCGTTACAGCATTTATACCACCATCATTAATCAGTGGTCAATGGATTTTTGGTAATTCGACATCAGGCAATTATTCATGTGATGCCATAGGTTTTCTCATTGTCGTTTTATTTAATGTAGCTATTTTAACGTTAACTGTAATAAGTTATATACGTTACTATTCTATAAAATACCCTATGACCTATACACGTTTAATTAATAAGAAGCGATTTTTCATCTTGATTACTTATGTCTGGAGTCAATCGATTATCATGGCTGTATTGCCCTTTTTTGAATCTATTAGTAGCTATGAGTATAACCACGCGGTTGGTTTTTGTACTATCAAACCATTGGGTGCTTTTCGTTTTATCGATATCATTATTACGTTAATTCTTCCATTTCTGACTGTTTTTATCCTAGCTATTCGAATATTATGTTTACTTTATAAAAATCCTAAATCTCAATGGAGGCATAAAATATCGCCAATGTCGGATAATAATGATACAGCATTGCCAGTTAATTCATATAGTCCTAGGCGGCGAAGTTATCATCCTCATAATACTATTGATAAACAGGTTACATACACGTTATTAGTTGTTGTCTTTGTTAATTGGGTTCTTTGGTTACCATTAATTGTTGTTATGCTCTTGGATTCATCTCTGTTTGGTAATCAAAAATCAGCTGAATTAGCTGTTTATTTGTTAGCTTTTAGTAGTATTAGCATTAATCCTATGATGTACGGCGCATTAAATCGCAATTTTCGCGAAGGTGTGACTGAATTAATAACACGTTGGACGCAGCATTGCTCCCTTTATAGCTGTGTCTGCTTTACTCATGATGAAGATTCCAATGTTAATTGGTTATGCTATCGAAAAAGGAAGATTAATATTTACATTCAAGAAGCATAATTATACGCTTATTTTCTATATATTTGCTGACATACTGCGCGATGAACTCCATTAACTTATACTAATTCTGTATCATAAATCTTGACACTATCGTTGTAGAGTATATGGAATTATAAAGTTAAGTTATGTACAACACTACTGTATCATAAATCTTGACACTATCGTTGTAGAGTATTTGAAATTATAAAGTTAAGTTATGTATAACACTAATTAATATTATTGCGTACAGTTGCTGCAAAACATTCGATCGAAATCGATTATTATCATTATTACATTAATTAATTCTATAATAAATGGGTTAAGGCAATTTCTATTGCTTATGATATAAATGTTTGGGAAATCTAGCTGATTACTTTATAGTTCCTACAAGATGAAATTAAATTTCTCTACATGAATTATTGTTTGTTCTATATGTTTATATTGATTAAATAAATGCTGCAAGATGTAATTATATCATAGATACTAACAAAATAAACTATATTAAAAACATCTCCTGTCTTTTTACAATTTAAGAATGATTTGATATTTTGCATTGCTAATTTACGGACTGTGACGTTTTTAACATTTATCTGACTAAAGTTACTGATATATTAAATCAATGCAATTTCATTTCTAATTTCTGGCATAATTATGAGAAAGTTTCGTTACGAAATAAATTGAAACAATTCATTATAGTTACGAACATAAAGATTTTAAGGGTAAAGAATACGATTCTTTAAAATCCTGTTAAATAGTAATATACGTATCTGTTGAAGGAATCGAACTCCTCTAACTTGGGAAAGTAATTAGAGTATTACTGGTGTGTTGGTTTTGAAATTTGGCTTTGTGGTGAATGAATACCCTTGTAATTTTTCGGTATTAGTATCTTGATGACAAAGTTGATTCATTCTAATATGTCTTGGAGATTATTGTTGTTAAAGTATTGACTTTTGAAATATGATTTATTATTTCGCGTCAACTGTGCCAATTTTGATGAAGAAGCAATATAGTAAATGTGGATTAGATATCTCCTAATTCGTATAGTTTAGAAAATTGATTATTACTGTAATGTCAACCTTGAAGTATCATACAGTATTTCAGGATAAATACGCATGCTTTACCCTGTTGATATCTAGTAGAAACTAGTACTGAAAATAGAGAGCAGACATCTTCTATTTATGGGTAATGATTGATTATTACTCTATGAGATTTGTACGATCCAGTATTTTATGAGATGTATACTATTTTCATATTCCTTACGTAATGATAGTACCTAGTTACGCAGAATATGTACTGTTCTAATAGTGGTCTGGAATTTTTGATTGCAGACATTTCATCCTTGTGAAACTATCAACTGATTCACGATGCGTGTAGCTTACTCTTTCCGATATCACATAGATATGTGTATTAATGTTAAATGTAAAATAAATCTTCTAGTATGTACATAGCTTAGTAATAATCATAATTAGCTCTTGATGTTTGCAGGTCTTGAAAACATGATCCAATGTATTATAGTAATTATATACTTTTAAAGTTTAGGCAACAGTAATTGGATAAATATCGAGTTATAGCCTTTTAATGTGGCATAGTGATTGATGTTGCCAGTACGTCGACTTTGAATTCAATCTATGGCCAGTGTTTCGAAATACCTTAAATTTACGCTGATTAATATCCATTAAATGGCACTACGTGACAAATTTAAGTTACTACTTTCTAATATAGCTTAGTAATTTATTGTTAACGACATATTAATTAGGAAATATGGTCTATTATTCTATAATTAATGTACGATATTAGCATCGTTACAGTAATTATTAGTGAGACGAACATAGAAAAAGCACTTCCTAATATTGTCATATTAAGGCATTTATTTATACGCAACTTGACTTTCTATCCAATATTGGAAGTAATATGCCATCAGTTTTAATATCGATTGCAAGTTACCTATTTCTTTATTCCATTCTGTCTTACCTAACATTATCAGTTATTTCTAAGTTGGTAATAGTGTTTTATATAAAATGCTAGCTAAAATGTTTTGATATTTTCTTTTACGTTAATAGAACAATGTATTTTTAAATTAGTAGTAGATCAGTCAATTGATTATTACATAAGGTAACGTATTACAGTAGTCGAACTACTGCAGTATTTCGATTCCTGATTTACCGCTACATGCGGATACTTTGACTTGGCCTCTATATCAAATCTATCTATATATATGCAATGTTAAGTTAAATAATGTATCAACTTTATATCGAATGTGTAATTTTCTGGGCTATTATGATGTCCCAATTTTTTACAGTACCGGCACTAAACAATTTATGATAAGATTTTATGAGCCATAATGTTTAATTCAAAGTAGAAACTTTAATCTGTTAAGGTATTAACAAGTATTGTATTTATTCTTCATTTATTTCGAGCATCTAGTCTCATAATATTTTGTATCGGTATAAATTTGATGCAATTGCTAGTTCTTAAACCATTATGAAATGATATTACTATGCGTTGTTAATTATAAGTGTAGCATCCACATAATTGAAAGTATTTATTTATAATAGGCAAGGTGTTCAATGTCCTGAACTAATGCAGAGGGAGTTATACTGTAATGTCGAGTCGGATTTTATTTTTTGATTTGAATATTACGTGAGATAATATATATTTAACGATGCATTCTTCGATTCTTTTAAATGCTAATTATGCAATAATGTATTACCTTTTAAGGTAATTATTCTTTCAATATAAATATTGAAATTCCTGCAATATGTACCTATGTATTAATGTCTAGATAATTCTTTTGATCAAGAATTTTTTTGTGATTGAAATGACTTTATAAATTAATTCGTGACGACGAATACATTATGTAAAATTGGCTTTTTAATTTGATGCTGCAACGATCTCTGTAACATGAAAACTACTTAAGGTGCATTATACAGTATTAGGGGCTGATAATGAGTAAATAGTAAAATTTAAGTAATAATCAATTTAAATGCCGCTGATACAAAGAATTTCACTCTGACATGCTGATCACATATCAGATATTGAGAATAGATTATTGCTTGTACGATCATTATAATATTCAGTTTTTTTTAAATCACTGCTGTTAGCTTTATTCTTGCCCTTATTAAGATTGCACATTATTCCAAAATATTTACTATGGCCTTATCTAACTATTAATTCATCTAGACCTGTTTGTTTGAATTTCTAATTCGAAATAAGCCACGTATAATTATTTTAAAATGTTATAGAAGCTACATTTCGTCAGTACTTAATATCTGTAGTATGGTCATCAAGTATCGACTTTTAAGTATATTTTATACGTTCTATAGTCATTGTAGGCTATTTCATCGTTATTTAAGTCTTCTGCTGTGCTTTATATATGTACTCGTATATATGTCTCAGGCTCAGTTTGATATCGTTTACTACGTAACAATGATGTATCGTGGGAAAATGTCTTCTATACAATAATTTTTTTTTAAATCCGATAGTAATAGAAGAAACTATTCAATGGGATATGAATTTTAAATAGGGAAGATTTCAGATATTAAAAATATTCTCTTGTGAACAGATTCAATCAAGCTCGTTTTTACTGGGTTTCTTTGTTTCTAGCACTTGTACACATAACTAGAATTGGAAAAGTTCTGAAAACGTTAACTTTCATTACTTTCAATGAAAATAAGAGATTTCTGCCCTTAGAGTTTCTTTATTTCCTTTTGCTTTAACTTCGAAAGCTTTTTTATATCACGTGTGTGTATTGAAATATTTTTTATTATCTGCTTCGTTTTAACTCGAGGTAATTATATATATTTATAGCCATATGAAGGACTCTTAAAAGGTGCTGATAAAAACTGAGTACAATAAATTCAGTAGTCTTGATATTAACGATTTTATTGCATACTAAGTAATTTTATTATTCATTTTCTTGACTGTTTTACCTTTGTTTGCTGATAATAGAGAAGTTTGTTTAGCACTAATTAAGATCACCGAATATTATCTTCACAGTGTATTTGTATGCTCTCGTTATTGTTTTAGATATCCTGTCCTGCAAAGTTGGATATATAGATGGCAATGATTGGACATTAATTCGGCTAGTATATTCTACGTATATTGCTATTACTTGAAAGTTTCTGCTACATTTATCCTTTCACTCTGGATTTTAATTAAAATAAGATTTAATTCTCTTGCGTAATCGTGTAACCCAACGTTTTATATATAAATTTTTTCTATCTTTCTGCCTATAGTAGAGAACAATAAAATTAGAGGGGTGTTGCCTGCGTGTATTCATACGTATAATATGTTCAGGATTTCATGGTCATCTGTGCATAAAATACCTATTGATAAACAAAATCATTTCCTGACCTGATTTCTATTCAATTTAATCGAAGTTGATTCTAAACTAAATGAATATTACGCTATTCCTACAAAGTATCTAGATGATCGCATAACTGAGTAATTTTAAGGCTAAATATAAATATGGCGCCGTTCATTATATTCGATAGGTCATAGGTTAACTTTTATAGACGATTTTACATCGTTGGGTTAAAATGAACTGTGACATTTTAACAATATTCTACGTCTTCTGTTAGATAAGAAATGAATTTAAAAATATGACTATAATCTATTTATGGCTTTCAAAATGAACAGCATATTTCACCAATGATAAATTGCTTCATTCTCCAATGGAAAAATTTTATCATACCTTTTTTCACTAATTTGCTACTGTACGTCTATATACTGTTTTGCAATAAATTTCAATTGATAAAAGAAGATCCTTTTCATAAATGAAACACGAGACTTGAATATTAGAAGCATTTTTGACGTTTACTGTAGATTGTTATCGTGTCATATTCAGTACTAAACTTTATTGTTTATAATATCAGGATCAGAAGTTCAATACAACAATAGAGATTTCTATGCCTGATACATTTATTTATTTTGCATAACTGCCACTGTATCAGGCACTCATAGTTTTAGGATATAGGCTTGTGATATCAGTTTGATTAGATAAAGTTGAATTGACTTAATACTAATGGAAGATTGCTTAACCTTACTATTGCATAAGCCTATATCTCTATACATTGCAAGTTATAGGGGGAATAGATAGAATCCATAATTTTAATTATGGTAGATTGATATAAAAATGAAAATATACTTGATTAGATGTTTACAGCATTGAATTTTGTACAAACGCTATCAATAAATTGATAGTTAAGTATTGGAGAGCATGATAAAAAAATTTATCCTTAACAGCTCATTAAATACAAACAAAACAAAACAGATGTTACACTGTCAGAAAGGTTGGCTCATACTTTGATTTGCTATTACTATCTTTCACATTAACATGGACTGCTGGTGTCGGACGCCGAATTTTGTTACTTTTAGTGTTAGGACTACTTTCAGAGTCTGATGTTGAAGTTTCTTCATCACTAAGATCGTCCGTATCATAGTCGCTTAAACTATCGTCGACTTCATCAGATGAGGTAACCAAACTACTACCATCATCATCATCATCATCATCATCATCATCATCATCGTTATCCGATTCTTCAGTATCTTCATCACTTGGTTCAATGTCTACAAAAGTAATCGAATTGAAATAGCGCATTTCACAATTAAGATCATTTAATAATTTATAATTGACACCACTCAACTAACCAAGTTGAATTCTTTCTTTCAATACTTCTCGATATTCAAGGCATGTTTGGTTGTCGGGTTCAACCTCTAAAACTAAACAAATTTTCGATAGTAATAATATTACGCGTATGATGATATCAAAATAGACATCTTTATAACAATTTTAGTTGTTTCGTATCCAAGCACGAGAAGTTACTATTAATGTATTGTAGGCTTGGATATAACATTATATAAACTAGACATACGGGCGTACATTATCATTTGCACTTATAAGTACAGTACTTACTTTGCTCGCATAGCCTTTGAGCCTCCTCATAGTTACCATTCATAATTTGTAATAAGAACTACAAGAAATATGAAATATTATTAAGGGGTAACATATAGTGAATCTCCTCATCGTTACTTTTCATAATTTGTAACAAAAACTACAAGAAATATTCATTATGATTAAAGGATAACATACAGTTTTTATCGTGTATCAATTTCTTTACAGTTATATAGACATACATCGCTGATGAGTTCTAGAGGCGATTGTTGTTGATCTAGTCCGGATGTCATGACAGTACCATTTTGATTTCTGTAATTGACATGGTTATTTTGGATACCATTAGAGGCGCTTGAAGTATTCCCAATATCAGATGCAGAATCATCGTCAGATGCAGAATCATCAGACAAAGAAGCATCGGACAGTTCAGTTTCACTTAATTGCTCGCATACTTCGTTTACTTTTTCATCTAGATTTGGTATGAAAAGAAACCAGTGTCTTTGTTTGTACGTCTAATGAATCAATCATTTTCGGCTTTGAGATATTCAATACAGAGATTGATTTTTAGGTGCAATGAGGTGCTAAAGTAACTACAAATTCATATTACGTTTAAAGTAAGTATGCTACCGTACTTTAAGCTACCGTAGATAACTACCCAATGATTCTTCATCGTTTTAAGGAATGAGATTCTGTACAATAATACTGTATAATCTTTTATAGTGCGGCGCTATGTACATTAATTTATGACATAAGGGTTGAGCTTGTTAAGCAATTTAGGTTGAGAAGATTGAAATAAATCTATGTAACGTTATAACAAATTATTGTATGACTTCAAATTTTGGGGTGAACATATCTACGATAGTAAAAATTCTGTATAGCGTCGATGAAGTAGATGCTTATTTAGATATTTGTAAAATTTGTTACCATCTGGTGGTAGTATTTCTAATTGGCCAGACTTTGGTCGTCTCTGAAGAAAAAACAAAAACCCTAAAATAAGAAACGATTGCTAGACCTTTCGCGTTGTACGCTTGCATTCACGTCAAACGCGGTATAATAATACTTTGAGTCGGAATGGTAATAGGATTATTAGAAATAAACATTTCAGCCAACACGGAATGAAACGGTGATTGATATTTATCTCTTAGAAATAATTATAAAGTGATGTTCTATAGCAAAGTATTGCAAGACTCAACTTTGTACATACGATACGGAATTGTTTTTTTTACGAGTAGTAATATCTATATACCTGCTCGATTCCGTTCGGTAGACTACTTCTAGACTGGGGCCTACATGACATTACGTATTTGAAACAATATATAAAATTTATTGATAACAGTTAGTCTATTAATATAATCTGATAACGATGTTATTTATCGATAATTTGTTCTATCACAACTGCTTTTTCCTACACTACTGGTTACTTTATTGTCGTGTTCTACTAACCTTGAATCGTTAACGGACTGATCACTTTGTTCTCGCCTTACCGTCGACATCCTGTAAAAGTATCAATCAGTGTAAGCAGATTAGTACTTCATCGCAAACGACTAGTATAGTGATTTACGATTTATAATTAATTTTGTCTTCAGACTGTATTGAATTGAATCGCTAACTAATATCGAGTGTGCTTGACAGTTATACTGTATACAATATTATAACTCCTTAATTAACTGTTGGAGAGTTTATAACTTGTACAACATATCGACAGGAGTGGATCAATCGCAGTCTGTAGATAGTATAATAACAATACTCAACTACTTAATGGATTAGTATACGATTGCATTAACTTAAGCATGGGAAAATACATTCAATGTTAGATGATTAATTATTCCTGTTGAAATCTGTTTCGCCGATCAATACTGTAAAAATACCGGTTGAGGATAGGCTGAGAGGACCGTGATCACAGTTTACAGTATGATGTTACCGCAAGAAATGAACCTTTGATGGCGAGTTTTAGCCGTTTATCATCGATATTGAATCATGGTAAAGAGTACAACCACTGGATACTATTTCGATTGTACAGTACTACTAATTGATCATTCATCCATTAACCAACGATTGGTACATGTTGAAAGTTTTATTTTGATACTTGAAATGATGTCAATTACTGGAACAGTTTATAAGCTAGAATTTTAATGTATTCGATAGCAACGTCTACTTTCAAGATTAGGATCTACGCGTATTGCTAAGTGTACTCGTGACTAATCTAACCTGGGCGAAAAGTCCCTTGAACGCGTTGATTTTGATATTTACTTGCAATTCTCCAAACTGGTAAAATCAATTCTCTGTTGATGAAAGTTTTTAAAATTGATCCGGATAACGATAGCACTATCCGGATAATCGTATGTGTGCCTGCTCAATCAGTCTTGGCCCGGCTAGAATCACTATTCCAATGGATATTTGAGCTACTTTAAACGACTGTCGTGATATCCAGTAGAGCTGATAGCTATAGAGAGCACATTAGGATACGATCGATGAGGATTAAATCGTTGAATTGGGTTTGCAGCTTTCTTAGCCGTTGTGCACTCGCAGATATTTACATAACAGATGAAAAAGGAATTTACTCGCTCTTATGGATGCGCCCATCAGCTGAGTAAAAACCACTAATACTCTACTACTAAACCAGTAGTTAGTCTGCGTTTACACTTCATTATTCCTAGCAGTAAGGCAAGTAAACAAAAATGATGTCATGCATTCGTTGATTTTTCAATGGAGGGCAGTAAAGTACTAGTAGACTATAGCATGCATTAGTGACATTATTTTTGCTATCGCTTTTGCTTGTACATAATGCTGCCATTTGTGAACTGAGTAGATTTGAAAGGCTGTCAACGAAGAGCTTTTTTCCATTGGTGCTAAGCAACATTCAGTTCAAGTAGAGAAAAATAATTAGGGAAATAATTATTTCCTACTTTTACAGTTGGTAAATTGTATTTGATGACGCTACAACAGGACATGGATAGGACTGTGAAGAATTTGGATTCAAAATCAAGTTGATTGTACTGGCTTGTAAAACATCAGGAAGTTGATGTAGTATCATAGACAGTACAGTGGAAATGGACATTACATAGGTAGGATTGATACCTATTTGCACATAAAGATGCAAACTGCAATGCATTCGTTATCATAGGGGGATAAAATACGTTATACCGTGGACTGGTGAATCAATTCCGTGATTGATTGATGGACAGGATTGATTTGCTAGTAACTACTATACACTTGTTGAAAATGTCGATATTAGTCTTTAACAAGGTACTGTATGCCGATATGCCATCCAGTGACTACTGTACAACTGTCATCCTTCATTGCTTCTTGCAATGTGTATTTTGAAACCAACTGGACATACCGTGCTATCATTCTCGTCTTTGAACTGTATAGTAAAATTCCGACTAATCTTCCATCCTTGTCGGTTTGATATTTCCGTAGCACACAGTCATGCACTGTACTGTATATTGTACAGTATCTCTACAGTCTGCTTCTTTTCGATGTTACCCCCTTCGTTAAAAGATCCCAGTTGTATTCCGTTGAAATTCCTATATACTATCTCTCTATACCGGTAGTTTAGTCTTGATTTCACCTAGACCATTTTATTTTTGGAGGGTGCCATGGCAATGAATCAGGCCGCACTATTTCCTCTCATTCTACTTCCCGTGTTACAGTACATTGTACGGTACACTGTTAAGACTGTACTGTGCACTGTACTGTAGTGCTGTCCTTTGCGGTCTTACTACCATGCTTGTGGACTACTCGTGCACGTCCAGTTTTTGCCTTTACTGTGTCTGTATAGAAATGCTTCTATTGGATATACTGTATATGACATACAATAGATAGCAGCAAATTTCATTTCTACTTTTATTAACCTATCTGCTACAAGAATAACATTGCTGTACTGTACATCGTACAATCATTTTGATAGTGTAAACTGTGCCATTGCACAGTTCTGTAGAGGTTGGTTTTATTTTCCCAAAGGGATACCCACTTACCCAGGTTACTCTTTTCCATGGCACAATATGCAATAGGCGTACAGTATACTCTCGTCAGTTCAATATGGTACAGTATTGTCATTATATTGTCCACTTGTCCATTCCTCTTTTCATGGTACAGTACAGTACAATATGCAAGGTACTGTATACTGTACACTGTACAGTACAGTGTACTGTACAGTACAGCACTCTCTTCAGTGCAATTGTATTGTCACTGTACTGTACTCGACGTACTGTAGATTAGCGATGTCGTCAAAATCTATTTTAGGACACCCTGGAATGAAAGCGTTGGTTGAAGACACTGTGCAATACTACTGGATAGTACAGTCCATAGGCAAAAATAAAAGCGTTTCTCTTTTTCTACAGCGTACTAACAGTACTGGGGATTGAAACATCAGCTTATCCACCCACAGTAGGACAGTAGGACTGGGGGAAAATTCACGTTGAACAACGTGACACTCGCTCCCAGAGTCCGAGTCCAAGTCGTCAGCGTGACGCAACGCTATGCTACGGTATGGCGTCGAATCAATCTTTGTTTTACTGCGCCTGCCTTGCAGCTCGTGTGACGTCATCACATCGTAACCGTTTTTGTCATCGGAGCCAAGCCAAATTACGCGTACACACAGAAAAAATATTTCAATAGTCTACTACGTAGTCCTTGCTAAATATTGTCAACATTACCATCCAAGGTGATTTAGCACACCCTAAGGTTGTGGTACTCTCTCTTCTATTGGTGTCATCAACGTTGGCCATTGCAGCAAAAACGCTCCATTGGTTGTAGCCTTTGCTACCAAGTGATTGAACATTCAATCATTTCACAAAGTGAAGAAAATTATCCATTTGGATTGGATTTGAATCGCTCACTGGTGGTCCAATTCTTCCACGTTCAAGAGTCCATTCGGCGGTATCAGTTTTGTTATCGTTGTAGGAAATAGTCTGTTTGGTTTATGTAAATATGTCCGAGGTAGATGATAAGCCATTTCAATGTCCGATAGAAGGCTGTAAAGAGGTAAAAACGAATCAAAATCTTGTATAGAAAAGATGAACAAGTAACTTTGTAAAAGGATTCACTTGATAGGACATTGTTGTTGCCGCGTCTTTTTCATCATTGTAAATCAATACAGTTCAAAGAGGATGTTATTGAGTCAATTGTGCTGCAAAAAACTGCATGTCCTTGGAAGGACGACGCCGACATGTCCATTCCTTCTCACTTTAGTATACCATATTGGAGTGAGACAGAATTGGCCCTCTTCTCCCTCTAGGCGTCTCGGTGATGTTTTGAAACACTTTGTCTTTCAATGGTATTTCGACGCGTTCTGGCGTTGCCCATCAAGCACATGCTTGAAATGACTCCCTTCTCTACAGTACTCCTATAGTGAAACTCTGTATCAGCAATGTCATTTGATCGATCGACTTTCAAGGATAGAAGGTCACTGCAGTGTGATTTCAGTAGTTGGATACAATCTTCTCTCCACTAACCTACACCACCACTACCACCACTTGGACACTTGATTGTCCTCATAGTGTATTTGAATTGAACGTTTCAAAATAGCATTGTGACTGGACTGCAATGCAGTGTTGTCATGTTGATCGATCATCAACAATTGTTGAAGCATGCATGATCGAATACTAAGCACTTGAGTGTATAACAAGCTAGAAATACATGGATGGATTCTATTTTAATCGCTATCATTGCTTTTCTCTCCTCACTACAGAGCTTTACTAATATGGATCATCTAGAGGTTCATCAGAAGCGTCACACAAGCAACCTCAAGATCCAGTGCGCTAATCGGGCGAGCAGCGATACACCAGCATCCGCTTTACCTGGTACGTATGGCATTATGACAGCCAGCACATGGCTGCAATGTTTAGCTTACTCCTTTACTCTTAGCACAATAGAATCGATTGAACAGCATGTTTCCTATTAATATCATTCAAAATAATGAACATTTTGCTGTCATGGACTAAAGTTTGCATTTGTACATCCATGTCGGCATAAAACCGCGCTTCGTTTTATGCATTGCTGAAAATTGGATCACAGCACGATTTTCCTCTACCCCCTCCTGTACAGTACGGTACAATACAGTACGTGTAAAAAGGTTTCTACTGTTGTACAGTACAGTATTGGTTCGCAATACAGTACTGTGAGCAGAAGACGTTTCACTGCAGTGTAGTCTACACACTGTATAGTACCGGACACTTATTTTCCACATTGCCTGTCTACCTAGTAGATAATACAGTACAGTATACTAATACAACTGTACTGAACATTATGACAAGATTTGGCATAGAGATGAAGAAAAAATTCGATACTGTACACTGTAGCCTACAGTACTCTACGGGATTGTACTCGACGTCGCATACTGTACAGTGTAGAGATGAAGAAAAAATTCGGTACTGTACACTGTAGCCTACAGTACTCTACGGGACTGTACTCGACGTCGCATACTGTACAGTACAGTAGAGATGAAGAAAAAATTCGGTACTGTACACTGTAGTCTACAGTACTGTACTGGACTGTAGGTCGAGTACTATGTACTGTACCCGACGTCGCTTTTTCCCCCTACTGTACTGGACTAAACTCGACGGCAGTTTACATGCAGACAGCTGACGAAATCCTCCATTCTATTCAAACAACGATGCAACTGGGTCGAAATTCCGCTAAACGCGATAATTGTGTGCCGTGTACAATCTTCTCACAATCATCAGAAAGAATAAGATTCAGAATAATGATACATTGAATGTTGCTCGTTACCATCTGTTAAGAGGCGCGTGTAGATCGAATGACAACATGATTTGACCATATCATCAACAAGGAATACTAATTTGAGGGTCAGGGTTAAATGGCAACATTGGATGATGAAGGATATCCATTGAATGGCATACCTGGAGATGAAGATGTTCAGGTAGTGGAATAAGAATTGCTTTTTATATCGGTTATACCTCAAAGGAAGAGCCAATCGGTTGCAACGAAATCGATAATCAACCCTTTATATTAGCTTTTGTGAAACGAAAATTAGCACTAGCTTTCGGTTTTCGACTATGCAATCAGTTGAATGACACCGAAATGATCAGCTAATAAAGCATACTTGACGTTACGCATAGATCAATCAATCTGGTATTATATGTGACAAGCTGGTTGTTACTGCACGAGTATAAGCTTGCGTTGAGTCAAGGCAATCCATAGAATAGACTAATTATGTTGGTGTTGTCAGTAGTCAGCTTATCACGTAAATTGAATATCAAGATACTTCATCATACTGTAGTATGACAAATTGCATCAAGTATGGTGTCCTTATTAAGGTGTATTATGTTGTTTTCAAATTAGATCAAACACCTACACCGAGTAGATTCCTAAGGGCATTTGAAGAAGCTGGCCTAGAAGACGCTTTGCAAAATCCATTTGAAGCAACTTTTGCGAAAGCAGCTGTTGATCGGGTACTTAATTGGATGATTTTTAGCATACTTCGTTCAACAAACTGGAGAACTCAATGTTGGCCAATTTTGACTAGCTAGTGTTATTAATTGTATAACAAACATTATCACGTTTTTAGGCAGATCCAAGTGCTGCTATCGCATCTGGTGTTTTGGCTACTATGAAATGTATGTCTGTTCATATTGAATAAGTTGAATTTGAATTTTTTGGCAACATATTAGCCTTAGTCTACATTACGAACGAGTACTTGCAATGTTGTTGTGTCTATATTGACTAAATACCATCATGAATATTAAAATAGTAATCACTGCTGTAACAAACTCGAATCAATATTATCGCCCGTGTCTGAGATAGTGTCTATGACAATGTATGCTAGTCTACGATAGCAATCGGTTGATGACATGTCTATACATTTGGATTTGATATCGTCAATCTGATGCAAACAAATTATGTTTTAATTTGAATGAACTTGCTTTGACATAGTGCGAGATTCGTCGCAACACGATGTTGCCGCAGCGTTAACCAGCTTATCCCAACAACCTAGCCCAGTTCCAATATCACCTACTAGTATTGCAACTTTGCTTCCTTCAAAATCAACAATTAAACCTGTAATAGAATCCATTGGTAATACGACTAGCGCATCGACTGCTACTGTTGTAGCGAATCCAATTGCGACTACTGCGACGCAACAATCTATTTCTCATTCAATTCCTACAATAACGAAAACAGTAACAGCACAGCTATCCCAGCAGCCTGTCAACAACGGTGCTCTAAATAGTATTACCGTTGTTAGCGCTAAAGAGGTAGGATAGTACTCTGTACAGTGTATTATTTATTGTTATGGACTGTGTTTGTCTTTCATGATAAAATTGTACGCGCTGATTGTATTAGTTATACATTCGTAGCTACGCTTGCCATCGTACATAGTACAGCAATCAATATTGCAGTTGGCAATCACTTTTTGATTACAATGCTAAATAATGGCTCTCATGTTTCTATAACAGAGGCTACAACATAGTTTACGGGTTAAAGCAATCAAAACTAGTGCAAGCACTGCTAGTAGTAAAACTCCGCAAGTAACAAAAACAAAAACGTTGGATATTGTCAACAAGGTAACAAAAGCTCCAACCGCGGTTGTAAAGGCTGTTTCTACGAATGATACGCCGGTCAGAAAGTCAGAAGCAGTTACTAATGGACCTCATAGAACGTACGCTATTTGTTGTTCAAATTCTAGTAGCGTTTTAATTGAGCTAGGATTTGCTATAAGCTATTAAATTAAAAAAAAAATATACTATTATAGAAAAAGAGCTCGACGCAGTCAGGAAGATTTGGATCCAGAGGAAAAACGTCAAAGATTTTTAGAAAGAAATCGAGCAGCAGCTACAAGGTGTCGTGAAAAGAAAAAAACCTGGATATCAGGTCTTGATAAAAAAGTGAAAGAACTGTCTGATAAAAATAGTTCACTACAGGTACAAAGAATACATTTTAAGCTTCATTTGTAAGAGCTAGTACTTGTTGTGTATAGGACTTGATGATTTATACTATTTTTCTCAACTCCGTCGTTAATCATAGGCCGAGGCTGCAAAACTGCGAAGTGAAGTTGCTCATCTTAAGAGTTTGCTAATTGCATATCAAAATGGAAGCATTGCTCCTCGAAAGGAACATTTATCTGGTAAAAGATTGATGCTCGTCTTATTATATATATATATATATATATATATAGATTCAGCTATTTTACCATTCAATATATCATTAACATTGCATTTCTTACGCGACACGCATTTATAGATAGTGTTAGTGACGCTGAGACTGTTGCAAGTTCAGTCCTAACACATCTCGCAATGGCGCCATCGACAGACATAACAAGTAATGGTGGTGCGAAAATTACCGCAAGTACTGTTGTATTAGATAATTAATTTTACCTGCTTGACTTGTAAAGGCAATTTGGATCACGCAATCCGAAAATATTTCACTAAATACTTAATCCCAATCTTGTAATGTACAAAGATAATAGTTAAGTGATATTATGCTGACTAGTGCTTTTCAATCTACTCAAACAAGATTCTATTGATTTTAATAGTATTATTGGAGTATATCTTGATCATGCGATCGTGTTGAATTTTTTGCTCAGTGTTCGATTTGATCCCTAAATTAACCTTGGTGTATACGCGTTGACTTGGTAGATCAATGGTTTAGCAGATGTATTCATTGACTGTATCTATTGCTGATTTATGGTAGTAACTTAATTACAAACTATTTTTCTCAACTTTTTAAAAAATTGTCAATTTTTTAGCGTTAGCAACTACGTTTTTAATTACCTTCATGTCTATAGAGTACAATTACTGTCCTAATTTTTAAGCTACATTCTAGTTTATGTTTCAATCATTGTGTTTGACTTAGATGCTATCAATAATAGAGCCATCTTGTAGTGTGTAACAGCAGAAATTTGTTTTAACACTGATGATCATTTCAATAATTTTTACTCCTGTAATGTAAATACGTATTTTGGCATTATTCAGCTTAAGTTGAATGAATATTGTATAGTTATTTTAGGGTCCTATTATATCACTGATTGGTTAATTATTCAGAGATAATATTGTAGATAACTATTTCTTGCGTGTTTATTCTATTTTCGATCGATATTTATGGAATAACATGATAAGAATTTGCAGAGGTAGGATAATGCTGTTGATAAGAGAAACAGATGCGCGATTATCTTGGTCATATAATATTATATTATCTTAAAATGAATATTACCCCGATTATTTATAACACTCGATACCTGAAAGTGATATTTCTGCTGTGTATCAGTTACCCAAATAAATACCTGCTGATTTTAGACTTCAAATTTTGAACATTTGATGAAATTTCAAAGCTACATCTGCTATTTATAGCGAGCATAAGTAATTGTAATTCGTTTATAGCCATAGCTACATACTAGCTACATGTTACTTGTGGCGAATATAAGTAATTGTAATCCACTACAAAATATCTTGACCTTTACTGCAATACTTCATATAAAGCCCGATCGGATCAATTGTGATAGTCGACTTAATGGATCGATAAAGAAAAAAGCTGAAACTATTGTCCGTTTCATTTTAGCGCGTCCGAAGTACTTGTATACCTTACCCATATGCGTCTGGTGTTAATATCGAATGGTTACTAAAATTTATGTCTACCAATTTCTTCAACATCTTTCACTAATTCCTATATTATAAGTAAGTTTCAGGATAAGCGAGGGTGTAAAGCTTACCGATAGCAAGTTACTACAGATCATGCTAGTTATAGTGTAACTGTATAAAATGCATACGTATTCACAGAAATTGCAACCAATATTCACAGTAGTAGTATAAAGTTATATTTAATATTACTCAATACATATGAGAATACATAGTGTCTGCAGTGTACTTTTACTGTACAGTATAATTCCAGACTACCAATTCATTATGCAAAATCTTAGTTTTATCTTTATAAAATTATGTTGCAATTGGAAATAAGTCCGTCAATCCTCGTGAAGGCAATAAATTAAATGGGTACGAGTAATAATAAAACTTTGTGCAATACTCGGTTAAGTCAATATTTGGGAATGATCATCTATTCTAAGCGTAACCATCTAATGTAAAATGCAAATTTGTATAACTCCTAAAGTACCCATTACCCCATTCATAATATTGCAATAAGATTAAAAGCTAGTTCTTTTACAATTTTATGTTAAGCTAGTAGAATCGAGCCGATGGATGAAAGATCATTCGTACATTTCCTATGCAACGTTGTAATCGAGCTAAGGTTAGCAAATCAATTTTTATTATTCGTATATAAGAGATACATAACTGATTGAAAATGATCGATAACTACCTAATTACAGTGTAATGTAATGTATATGTAGGTAGATATTAGTATATGATCGAGGCCTGTCGTGAATTGTAGTAGGTTTAGCAACATATTTTACAATAAGAACTATAAAACATTTTGTTGAGCTAGATTGCAATGGGCATCAGATGACTGTAATCTATTATAAAGCTTTTATAGTGATGTTTGTACACTTTGTAATGATAGTATATATTCAATTCACTGTAGACCTTTACTTAGTGATAACTGTAACGATATCGATGTTGGAAAGTAACTTTAATGAAAAGAGTTTGCCATAGAAGGTTAAATTAAATTGATTTCTCCCATTATATTCACTGGCCTATTTTGGTATCGCTTTGATAACTCGGCGGCAACCTATTTATAAAAGCAGTAGAAAGTATTTGATACGAACTGTGAGCTACAAATCAAATAAACGAATTAGCAGCGCGTAGCTCTATCGCTTACTTCAGTTTGAAGTTCTTTAGTTTTTGCTATTAGATTATTAAGCTTGGGCTCTGCTTCAATAAGTTGCTCTTTAATTTTCTCACGACGCTCCTGCGAGTTTTTTAATGATTCTAACATTTTTTCTGCTAGATTTTCTTTTTGCTTTAACGATTCGGCTAAACGATCGACATATCTACAGTGAAATCCCAACATGTGATACATCATGTATCAATGCCTGTACTATAGCGGAAATTTTTGCAAAGGTAAGAAGAAATTTGGGCGATTTTTACCTTTCCGAAGTTTTAATCAAGAACAGGTGTTGCATTTTAACGGATGTCAGCTTCTCTAAAATACTGTCTACAACTGATTTCATTGAAGATATTTCTTCTGTTGAGGTCAACTGCAATTGTCGTGGAGCGTCTTGAAACTAATGCATCATTTTAGTATCATTTATTAGCGAACTGCTTAAAATTTTAGAAATTAGTACATGCCATATACATATGCAAACCTGGTTAACAGAGACTATATTAGCTTCTTCGGACATTTCATTTACGCGTTGCTTAAAGAAACCCTGCAACTAATTATATACGGAACGAACATAATGGATTTATAATCGCGTTGTGGCAATGATAATGCATCTACAATCTTCTATTTTGAGTCTTACTTCTGTTAAATTGTCAATAAAACAGTTTCTTGAACGAGTATCATCTAAAATAGTCATTAAATCTTGATCATCGATCGTAGAGCCTGCAATTAACATTACACCAATCAAATATAAGTCAACATCAGTAAATAAGTTTCAATGAATTGCAAATGTAGCTGTAATCATGTCTAGTAATATTTACTTTGTTCTTGGTTGTTAGATGTAGTATCGCCGTTTTCAACGCTAATGTCAAAATTAATTTCATCACCATAGTCAATTGCATTGTTTTCATCTCCAAAATCAATTTCGTTTGTATTATCGCCAAAGTCAATCGCATTTGAATCTCCATAGTCGATCGTATTTGAATCGCCAAAATCGATTGTGTCAGGCGAGCCGGTGGTTAAATCCAGGTCACCAAAGTCTATAGTATCCTGACATAGATCAAGTAAGATATGACTATAGATTTGATAAATATCAATCGTGCTTAATCTAGTTTATAAAACCGCCTACAGTAGCTGGATCTGCTTCAGACTTTTGTTGATTTTTAATACGAGCCGTCATGAGTGCTTTTTCCTTTTTAAGAGAAAATATAGAATTATTAATTGAAAGCGCGATGAAGGCCAAAGAGTTCTGGAAAGTTTTGAGAGAACTCATGAATTTAACTAACTGGAGGAGGCTGGCCAGTTTTCCATTCATAAACTGTAATGTTTCCTTTATTGATGATGCACTTTAGTAATGGTAAAATATCTAATTGTTTACCTTCTCCATTGCTATTAAAAGATTCATTCAAATGAATGGAAAGAAGTAGACCTTTTAGTCAAAATATTGACTAATGACTATTAGCTACTGGTTCTGGGGCTGAGTATTTCAGATGCTTTTAGGTTAAGCACGAATATAATTAAGCATTTTCACTTACGAATCATCTAAAAAGGTAACAAAAGCTCGATAAAATTCGTAGGCTTTACTCAGTTGCTTGGAATCTGTTACTAAGTCGTCATAAAGTTCTGGTAATGTCTGCAACAGTTCATTGAGTTCAGCTTTGATATTTTTACCCTGTCAATTGCAAAAACGCAGTAGTAGTTTATTATGATGTTCACTATGTTGGGTTAATAAGAGCTGTTTACTCGGTTGTTAATCCTAACGTAGACGTACAGTAGCAAGAGAACAATTACATTCGAATGCAGATACCTGGATTCCAATTTGTTTGCAAGTCTGTAAAAATTTATTCCGGAATATATTAGCATTTGATGTATATTCACTTTCTTTCCTTGTTAAGTCCTATAATTATATTATATCCAAAACCATCAGCTATTGTATTGGTGGTAGTAACATCAGTAAAAATAAGAGGTCATTTGAATTCCATTGAATGTAGAATACTGTAAGTATAACATAATGTAGGTAATTTACCCTAAGCTGTTGTTGACACTTTCCAATGTTTTTTTTGGAAGCTGCAATTTCATAGTTCACATTTCTCATCAACATATCGGCTGCTTCGGCTACACAAGTAAAGTCAATGCAAAGTGATCACGTTAATAAAGTCGATTTTGATTATACTATTGAATTTTTGTGGCTGATACATGACGTGTACTACACCATGTCGGTTAATACACCTAAATGGAAGTGGAGATGTACCTAATCCGATGCTATCTGCTTCATACATGGCTACGATTTGTTGCCAATCCTTAAAAATAATAAATAACGAAGCAAGCTGTTTTATAGTTATGACATTATACGTTGACTAAACTATTATGAATTAGGGAGGCATGATAGCCACAATCGCAATAATCATCATAACGATTATCTATAAAGACAGTCATTGGTAAAAATAGACAATCAATCATCATAATCGCTGTACAGCATTACCTTCATCCTTTTTGAAGAATATCGTCCGAATATATTTTTAGTGGCAGATTCAGATATTTTTAATACTTCGATAATTTTTAGGCAATGAAAATAATGAATATCTAGTGAGCGAGAAAAATAAGTAGTGCTTATTGATATGACATAAAACTCGTATAATAGGCGATCTTGGCAGAAATTTATTTACATCCGTTGATGTTTGTTAGAATTAGCTGGACTACCGATAGGTTGCGACGATTGATTAATAACAATTATCAATGCTATCATACGCGTATAAAAGAGATCTTGAACCTCTCTATTCTTGATTAAAGATATACAGTATTTGTGTGAAAGAGAATTATGATACAGAGTTTGATCAATGTACAATGGTGTAGTAGACTCTCCATAAGGCATGTAGTACTGTTATTAACTGCTCTATGTCAACGACTTATCCAAAGAATAATACTATTGGATTGAAAGTAGGGCTATGACCTCCTGCCATTGCTTTCAATATTGGTACGATGTTCTCTACGTCTTTATTATCTTCATTACTACTTACAAGTGCCAGATAACAGCTGTTTAATTTCATCGTTTTCGGGCATATCTTGAATAGCATTGTTGATTTTTTCTCGAATTTGTAGCGTTTGATCCCTCCAATCACCTTTGCAATGCTTCCTATCAATAAGCCAATCTGGAATGATAATGGATTTTTTTGCTTTATTTTCAGGTGTAATATGTCTTGACTTTAAGAAACATCATTATCTGATGGTGTCAGTGTATTGTAATCTACGATATTATAAACGTCTCTACCAGGGGCTACTCAAGTCAAATTTGCTTTGAACATTTTCCAGGCAATATACTGTATGTGCTGTTTGAAACGATGAAGTGGAATATACGAGTACATAGTAGAGGTGTAGAATAAACACGATGGTATACTGTACTTCGTGATCATTTGATTAGTTTGGAGTATTTGATTAAAAGGATGACGTAGAGTATCATCGCTTTTCCAACTACAATGGAGCAACTTCAAGACAAGTAATCTTATTTCTTCCAATCGATATTGTACATCGCTACCTACAGTCTTTCAACTAACAGGGATCGATCTGATCGTGATCCTATTTCTTCTAATCGATATTGTACATCGCTACCTACAGTCTTTCAACTAACAGGGATCGATCTGATCGTGATCCTATTTCTTCTAATCGATATTGTACATCGCTACCTACAGTCTTTCAACTAACAGGGATCGATCTCATCATAATCCTATTTCTTCCAATCGATATTGTACATCGCTACCTACAGTCTTTCAACTAACAGGGATCGATCTGATCGTAATCCTATTTCTTCCAATCGATATTGTACATCGCTACCTACAGTCTTTCAACTAACAGGGATCGATCTGATCGTGATCCTATTTCTTCTAATCGATATTGTACATCGCTACCTACAGTCTTTCAACTAACAGGGATCGATCTGATCGTGATCCTATTTCTTCTAATCGATATTGTACATCGCTACCTACAGTCTTTCAACTAACAGGGATCGATCTCATCATAATCCTATTTCTTCCAATCGATATTGTACATCGCTACCTACAGTCTTTCAACTAACAGGGATCGATCTGATCGTAATCCTATTTCTTCCAATCGATATTGTACATCGCTACCTACAGTCTTCAAACTAATACAGATCGATTTATCGATTCAACGATGTATCCAAGACCTGTATGATGGATACTATCATATCGCCATTCTGAAGTTAAATTGACTGCAAGGTGGAGTGGAAGAAGAGTCTGCTATTACCTAATAATTTGCTATAATGAATATCGATAGGGATGATTGCTTCCGGCGTGGCTGCTTGATTTCGACTCTATAGCGATTCAAAGGTTGATACAAAATCAAGTGTTTAGATAGAGTATGGATAGGAGAAATACTGTACGTTAAGCATACCATGATTGCACTGCAATGAGAATAGGATATCGAATGCATCCCTTCTATGAATATGGAAGAACGCTTGAAAAATTGAACCTACCATTTTGTCGTCCCTGATGACTGATGACGATGTCTATTTCGATTTTGAATTTGAACTTAGACGATTGTATATGGGTTGAATGATGCCGATCAATGTTTTCTCTCGGTCAGTATTGAATCCACTTGCAGTCAGGCAATCGTCAGTCTCTCTCTTTCATCCGTTCAGATTAGCTCGCCGTTGCCTAGTACTATAGTGATGGCACTTGTCGTAATATCATGAAAGTTGGCCAAGGTGCTTTTAATTTTAGGCAATGGCTAATTGATGCAATCGTTTCAAGGTATACTGAGCAAATGGGAATTGCTCTTGACCGCCAGTTAATTAATGATTTCTATTTACCCTCTAGGCTTTGCCACTTTACCAAGGACGACGAGGAAAAAGGAAGGCTGTACCGAACCAGACCGGACCAGACCGACCAGACCCTGCGCAACCCAATTTCGATACATTGGTAATGTTACCTACAGTACAGTATCTACAGTACTGTACACTGTACTGTACACTGTATTGTACTGTAATCATTGACGCACTACGGTACTGTACAGTTACTGTACATACAGTAGATACTATATAATGTCATGGAGTTACTCATTCCTGACAGAGCTGCTATACTGTAGGGTGTACTTTTATGATTCTCTCTTTGCAGATAGAGTCACGTGGGTTGTACTCTCTGACTTTGTACACAGCCTACGAGTCACGTGGCTTGGACTCTCTCTCTCTCTCTCTCTCTCTCTCTCTACTACAGTATACTGTACAGTATGTACACTGTACACTGTACGGTATACAACCTACGAGTCACGTGGGTTGAACTCTCTCTCTCTCTCTCTCTCTCTCTCTATACAACCTACGAGTCACGTGGGCTGGACTCTCTCCATACAATGGGTGTTCCCGCGTTGGACAAAACAAAAGGCCAATTGTGTCAAAGTCCACAAGTCCAATTGTAATCCTCTCCCTTGCTAACCTTGTTGATATTGTTCTTCTTTTGCAAAATGTCCTAGTCTTCTCCTTCTAGTCGAATGTGTTGACAGGGCTATTTTCATCCATCATCCTTGCTGCAAAACCAACAAAAATGAAAACTATTTAATTAAGCAAATGATGCAGTAGACTCCCCGCACTTTCTCCTATTGTACGCGGCCATCCAGCGATTTGCTAGCATAAAAGGTCCAAAAGAAGAATACCCACTTTTGTAGGACGTCCATCCAGCTCCATCGATAGGGTCTAGCCCGCTTGGCTTAGTGCTCAAGTGGATCAAGGGATTGAAATTGCCTCTCGTAGCTCCAGTGGATCAAGGGATTGAAATCGTCTTTTGTGCCAATGGTGTGTGTGTGTATTGTCAAAGCAGGGCAAAGTGATACATAGATTTTAAACACCAAGGATGTTGATGGTAACGTCGAGTAACGACGACGACGACAACGCCGACGAGAGTAATCAGATTGAACTATCCCCTATTGCTGTCAACGTGAAGAGTCGGCACGATTTACCACTTCAAATGAATAATCCAATCTTATCACGAAACCAAGAGAATCAAGACCATTATTATGATCCTCGCCATGGTCTGTATCAAAATCGATCACCAACCGAGGGTAACGATGAATTTGTAGCAGATATTTCCGATGTTGCGCCATTACTAGACGGTGATAACGCCAAAATCGTCTTCAAGAACGGACGCTATCCTCATCCCTCAACGTCCATTCCGCTTCCATCGGATAGTAATCATTGCCATACCTACCAAAAAAACGATCGTGGAAATAAGAAAGCCAAGACCAGGCTAATGGTTGCCTCATTAGTTTGCTTTGTATTTGTTATCGGTGAAGTAATTGGTGAGTCATTGTATCGTTGTCAACTCCTTTTTTCGTTCCTTTTTTCATGGCATCCTTCTGCCTTATTTTATCGTGGTCGTTGTCTACTCTCCCTGTCCAGATACTTATCCATGAATACATTATTTATTTACTCAATTTCAACAATATTGACTGACTTCCGACATTTTTTTTTTGCCCCCTTCATTGTGTTTGCATCCTTTCCTACTTGTTATTGCCATTCTCATCCATGCAGAAAAATGGAAATGTTGCAGTATGCTCGAATTGTTATTCTTCTACATCGATCCATCGATATCCATGACTCCAATGCACCGAGTGTACTGGACAAGACGATCGGATGACAACGCTAGTTCATCAATCGTGCCACATTTTACGCTCCAGGGTTATTGCAAGGGTTCATCACCTGTAAAAACACTAGACCAATACCAATCCATTCCTTCATCCTTTTCTCAAAACCAGTATAATTACAATCCATTGAAATAGTGCCCAATTACCAATAGATTGTTACATGGCAATGGATGAATTTCATCCTATTCAACCATTTGTCTTGGATATTTTCAAGTTCAAAGTGACCCCTATCGTTTTCAACATGGATTCGACAATACCTCAACGGTATTCAACTGAGCAGAATGAAAATGGTTTAGTTGCCAATAATCAATAAGAGTGTCGATAGATAATATCCATCCAATCTTATCTAGTCGAATTCCTGTGTGCAACTGCGTGTCTACAGTACTAGCCATTACAAAGGTCAAAAAGTCTTCATTTTTGCCCTGGGTACTCTTTTCCTGACAAGACAATTTCAACACTATTTTATTTTTGAACTCGGATTACTTTAATTACAAATTCAAAAACAATTTATAATCCCTCATTATGTCGTATACTTTGTCTTGAAAACCTACATGACCCAATGATTTCAATCACTAAACCCTATAAAATGCCGTCGTCTCCAACTTAATTCCATGCTACGATCAATGCAACGGATTACTTGGAGTACCAATTCAACATGAATCCCTTTTACCAAGTCCGATGCTACGTCTCCATAGCAAATTACAGCATAGCCTCCATGGAGAGAAAATACGTAAAATAGCTTTGTTCTGCAGTAGTTTATTCTTTCGACATTTTTGGCCTACACTGAATGCCATTTCCTTTCATGGCGAACTCAATAACGGCCAGAACACCATTTTTGTTCCATAATAAACTCGACCTACTGTATTCTACTTGGAATAATAAAGCAATCAAATTCATTAACTTGATTCTTTGATATATTTTTAGGTGGCTATTTTGCCGGTAGTTTGGCTATTATGACGGATGCTGCCCATATGTTATCCGATTTTGCCAGTTTTTTAATTAGTTTATTAGCGATCTACCTGTCGGAAAAAAGGCCGACGAGGAGAATGTCGTTTGGCTATTACCGAGCAGGTTAAAACAAACAATAAATTAAAGTTCAACATTAATTAACTATTGATAACTTGAAATCTTCTTGATCAACTACTTCTCTCGTACTTCTGTCAATCTCTTCTATGTCTTTTCAGTTGTTTCCGTTCATGAGTACTTCATTAAAAGCAAAAAATAACATACTATAGCTGTACAACAAGTGTTCGATGATTACGCAACCAGTACTTGACAGTTAATGCAATCTTGACATTATTGAATTATTTTTTTCCTATGCACGACATTGATTGCTCTTTGTCATGAACGATTGATTGATGGATCAAAATGACCTACGAGTATTTCAATCTTTTAATGTCCACTAACCTAAATTAGCAGTTTCATAACCGTATCGCTTATGCTTGAATAGAAATGATAAATCGTAACTACACTATACTACTGTAACATAGCAAAGAGCAGAAAAATGGACGTTGAAAAGTACAATTGATGTCGTACACGATCATTTCGTATATTAGTCGATTAATGATAATTATGAATAGGATTGTAAGCGATATTAACCATTTTGATGGCAAAACAAAATAATGGAATAATTTCACGTTCTGACTTTTTTTTACTATCATCAACTAGTCAACCAATTCCTTTTCTTATTCGTTTATTTACTATCAATTTTCAGAGGTACTAGGTGCTTTATTATCGGTCATTATCATTTGGATTATGACTGGAATATTAGTTTATGCTGCTGTCCATCGTTTAATGTCTGATGAAACAAATATCGATGCTGATGTTATGATTATAACAGCTGGTGCTGGCGTCGCTATCAATATTGTGTAAGTCAGATCTACAGCATTTCGACTATTTGAGTTGTACAGTATACCATTGAACGTTCACATTGTACACTATTTGCTGTATACGTCGTAAACTAGATATCAATTTGTAAGTAAGCTTGAATTCAACTTTGTCACAATACAAGTCTATCCCTACTGTTGCAGAAATGCGGTATATAAATTGTGTAATTCAATTTTATTCTTGAACAATTTAAAGCTTAGGTAAAATATTACATCAGGGTGGACATGGCCATTCCCATGGGCATGGCCATTCCCATGGACATTCTCACGGCGATAAAAAAAATATTAACGTTAGAGCCGCTTTTATCCACGTTATTGGAGATTTTGTACAAAGTATTGGAGTCTTAATAGCTGCTTATGTCATTAAATATGTTGTAAGTTGATTTTACTGAATACATTCCTAATATTATGCTATCACACCAATATGGATGATAATCGGCCATAGCACCCTAATGACGTTATTGTAATGATCGTCTTGTTGTTCTTCTTCATTAAATAGCCTCAAGCGAAAATTGCCGACCCGATATGCACATTTATCTTCTCATTTATTGTTTTATTAACGACAATTAGTATCTTACGTGATACGGTGGTTGTCCTAATGGAAGGTAATTATCATTCTTGTGTAATGCCATTCTCCTTTTCGATAAACGGAAATATTTAATTATAGTCATGGTTGAAAATACTACTATAATGTCCTTAGGACAATGATGTCTAGAATTGACTATGCTGATATGTTGCTGCTACTAATTTAGCAATTATCGTCCATAAACGTATTACGTAATCATGTTGGTTTAGGTGTTCCTAGTAATATTGATTATCAAGCCGTTAAGAAAGATCTTGAAAGTGTAGAAGGGGTTGCTACAGCTCATAGTTTGCATCTTTGGAGCCTTACAACCACAACATGTGCATTAGCGGTCCATCTTGCAATAGGTAACATGCTTTAAATGATGATCGTTAAGACAGGATTACTTCTTTCTTTTGTACTGGCCGATGGATTTGCAAAAAAAACACTAATTATATTATTATTACTATAACTTGCCGTCCCTTTTATGCCCTGTTTTTTACTTCAGTATGGTCATGTCCTACTACAGTATGTTGCAGTAAGATGATTTTTGATAATGATACCATTTATAGATCAATCGATTTCAAATCAAAAAGTATTGGTGGCTGCAGCAAAATTAATTCGTGAGAAATATGATATTCACCATTCGACCATACAAGTTGAAGAGCACCAGCCCGCAGTTTCTGCTAATTGTGACCAATGCCAGGGACCGTAAAGGAAAATAGAATAAATAATTACTTTTATAGAGTAAAATATACGTACAGTGTATCATGAAACATTCGATTTGTTACTAATAACGACCCATTGTAAAGTAAAGCATTGCGATTTCTATGCATAAAATTCAATGAAAATAACTCTGTATAATCTATACCGTCTTATAATGAATCCTTATTTTTTATGTAACATTTTAATTACCTCTCTATTCTATGAAATATTTTATTTGATTCATTCAAATAGCCTAAAATGATGTATAATAATGATTATTACCAACAAAGTTCTATTCCTAGTATCATTTATTTTACTTTGTGAATTCTAGGAGTTTCTGAATGTTTAAAGGAAAGTATAATAAACCAAATGTGATATTGACTATTGGTAGTACGATTGAAGAAATATGCTATGACGTGTAGTGATAGTCCCTTCATTGAAATACGTAAATGAAATACGTATATACCGTTTCTATTTGACTCTTGAAAAATCTGAATCGGATAATATACCATTACCCTAACCCAAGTTATGTTAATTTGTCTACCTTGAATACACCTTACTGGTATGAAAATAAGGATAATTTATGATGTAGACTAGACTACCACTTAGGTAGCTAAGCAAATTAGCAATAATTGATAGAGCTTAGAAAGTGGCGACACGTCTTCGACGAATCAACTCAACTTGCTGTTGGATCTGATTCCTTTTTCCAATCGAATCTAGTATATAACTTGAAATATTCCTACGGCTGAGTACATTGATTTAATAGCATACAGATAGGCATTAAAATGAAACTTGTGTTAAGTGCTTGAGAATACCGTACTTCCGTTGGTAAGTGATTTCAGCTCATTACGGTAGTTATTCTTAATGTGTATTGAAAGTGCAATAGTAATATGAATGCACTCCAATTTGGCATCAACAATCTCACGCTGAACTCTATTGCAGTCAATTTGAAAATATTAGATTGATGAAAATAAACTGTTAAGTTATAAGACACAGCATATGTATGCGTATATCTAGAGTATTTATCTTTTGAAATCGGAAAGTAAGACATATGACTACCCATAGCATCCAGATCATCATTATCTGATATGTAGTAGGCTATTCTGTAATTGTCAATCTACTCCATTCTATGATTTGTTCTTCGCGGTCTTGCTAACACTTGAAGCATGGTCATTTCTAACCGCTGAAGGGACTGGCATCATGCAGATTGTACTTCTATTCAATTTACGTGGTAATGTACTAGAAAGATTATTAACAAACTTTGCAGGTACCTGAGGTACAGTGTTCATTTTTAACTTTATTTATAATCTCCGATTCAATCGTTCGAAAATAAAGATGCAGGATATGATACCATTTTGACACAATCAGTTGCAGACATGAATTTGCAAGCGGTTCATGGTATTACCAAGAATCCAATTGGCTAAATGTACTCATTGATACACTACTGATGACCTGATGGTATCATTGCACTACCTATACCGATGACGAATTTGGCTTAAGGTAAAAAATTGAGAAATGAATTGACAGAATAAAGTGAAATCACATCACTCTACCTATCCCTATGTACATTACTACAGTATACATATTTTATCATCCTATCGACAGTTTGTTCATTGTTAAGGTTAAGGCAACGTATCCATTTAAAAGCATTGATGAGCAGTGATGGATGCTAAGCATAGCGCAAACGATTGGCGATTTCTAGGTTTCAAAGTTTGAACTTGAGCGGCTTTAAAGATTTCCTATATGCTTTGGTTTCTTCCTTAATTCTCCTTAAGCAGTGAGAACAAAAGATACTGGTTAGCTTGAGATTGCCACATACATTGCAGTGTTCGAAATTGCGTATCGGTTTCAATTGCTTGTTTAGATTACGCAATCTCTTCTTACGACGGGATGTTCTCTTCTTGGGAACAGCCATCCAAAGTATTCCGTGATCGTTGTCAACATCTACATGAGGTTAGACGATGAATGGATTAGGAAGAGTCGTAGCAAAGGTCCCCATCGATTTTGCTACTCTGTATAATCAATGTTATTTTACTAGCAATAACCGATAAAACAACTTTATTCAAGTTCTAGTGCAAGACAAGAGGACTAATAAGATACAGTATCCTTGTGTTATTCAGTAATCGTATTCTATCAAACACTGCTCGTCCAATGTGGAACAAGAAAGTAATTACCATCAGGTTGATCATCCAACGACGTTAAAGCATGATCGGTTGGCTGTAAATCATAGTTGTAAGCTGGTCTTAAATTCAAGGCAATCCAAGCTCTTTGCTCTAAAATACGTGCAGTTTGAAGTAGTCTACTCGCGATCGATGTCAATAGTGCCATGGACGATCAATGATAGTAATATTTAGATCAATTTTGCAAGCAATGTCGGTGATAATGTCGACTAAGCAGCAATCACCAAGTTGCTGAAAGGAATGCTGCAGCGAATCCAAGCTCAAGGCTCGTGCACGCCGTTATAAGGGTTGCAATCACCCATGGCAAGGCTATACTGTAGCATAGACTGGAGCATTGAAAAAGTTTTCCGTACCGAACCATCGATCGCCGCCGTGTCTCTGTGGCCTGCTGTACAGTGCACAGTTACAACTTCTACAGTACTATACTGTACACGTGTACTGTAAAATGGAGATTTTTACTGGATTCATGGTCATAGCGTTAACATCGATTTTCTTTATGCTTGTCTATTTAATGGGCCTTTTAAGGTCATAGCAAAGTATTAGAGATCTTCCTCTACAGGTAAATATAAAATATGTCTATATTTCTTTCAAATTTATCGGATCATTTCTTTGCAAAAATGTTGCCAACGAAGCGGATCATACACGTACTTACAGTACTCTGTACAGATACAGTGTACAGTGTACAGTATACTGAACAGTACTGTACACTGTAGCTGTACAGTACTGCATATGGGCGACTTTGCTAGCAGGAGTGCGCGCGCGCAGATCCAAGCCATGTTACAACATTATCAGGTAAGATGTCGTCAGATTTAGCGATTTTGCCTTGAATATGGAAGAATTTTACTCCAGTTGTATCATCATTTTGCCTATTCTTGATTAGAAATATCAGCTTGATACAATTCGCCTAAATTGTATTTTGCTCTTGGGCTTTTCATATCAAAATTTTATTGCTATAGGAAGCTTTTAACTGCTATTTCTCTTTTCTTGAAATGCATGCTCAATTGCTCATGGTGACTAATTCAATCAACCTGTAGTGGTGGAAGCACTCTTTTCCAGTTTATGCAGTTACTCATTTACAAGTCAATATTGCAATATAGCCATCGTTTTACCCTTGTGCCAACGCTCTTCAATCGTGCAATGCATACAACAACTTTGCATACAGGTAAGAAACTACATCAACCTTGATAAACCATTCCACGTGATATCGACTCCAATTCTGATCCTGTTGCATGGCTACCATTGATTGGAACTGAGATGCAGCCTGGATATCATGTTCCATCATTACCCTAGATTAGAATTGAGACATACTCTATCTTCAGTTCTATACGGTGGACACATCAATACTTTGTATTGGAATGTACTATTTGAATTTATCTTGAGTAATATCGAGTATCATAGTAGACCTAGCATACTTGTCTATTTAGGTACTTTACTAAAATCTACAACTGAATTATTGAGTGAATGATTGCACGCGTATATTCATGATTAGATCTTGGCAACGCATCATTGGTAAAGATTTTAATCTCTTCACATTTGGCTCAATGTAAAGTTAACGTCAATTATATCCAATTAGAGGGTAAGTTGAACTACCAGGCAAGGAAAATGTCTTCTAAATGCGTTCATCATGATTGAACATACAATTTAGAAAACCCTACAAATATGCCATATAATTAATCTTACACATATAGAAATGGCATATACCATGCACTTGCATTAGTATTAAACAGACAGATATTTATATTGCAAATATAGACATTGAAAATTAAAATATGGGACTTTTTTGTAATTAATTGGTATTCATAGAGGCTCTTGCAAGAACCGCGAGCTGATGCCTTTTATGCATACACTTTAGCACTATACCAATTGTCATACTCAGTTTGATCTATGTCTTAATTTTAATAGATGCCGTCAAAGTCGTGCCGTACCTTACCAAAAGCAGAGTTAGTATAAATATGTATTAACAAAACTATCGTGGATATTTCGTAACTTTAATTTGTAACCACTTTGTCCGTTGCTAATTGCTACATAGGATCAAATACTCTATTCTAGAAACTGTAGCATACTCTTTTGATAAACAAAAAATGGAATGCGGAAGTTTTTATTCTTATTGTTTAGTTACCAATATTAGAAGTTGGACCTAATAAATTCCTTTTCTCGGAGAATGGAATGTGCAAGTAAAAATTATTAAAAGTCTCTTGCTTTATTTCGTTATGCTAAATACTTCAATATGCGTCAACTTCATCATGCATTGCGTCATTGTAGCAACTATGTTATCAACTTTTTCTTATCGCCTTTGAATTGATACGACTATAATTTCATTTTTATCCAAAGATTTTTTTACTCTAAAGACACTTCCAAGGTTTCTAACATAGCGGCAGTGCAAATTGATGAGTGGGCCGAGTGGGAAAGAAACAACTTAAAAGTTTGTACCTATTATGTACCTATTATAGGTTTTCGCATATAACGATGGTGACCGTATATAAACAACTTATTATTATTGTTCCTTCATTTTAGCCCTCAGTCTTTCCTCATATTGTACAAGCTCTATGCGGGCGAAAGGTTGATGTTGCCACTTGTGGTGATGTTAATGCATCATTAGAGAAACTTAATATAGCACTTGCAAATAGCAACTATCTAATCGGAGTAAGCACTTGCTAAAATATCGATTGAGTAAAGTGAATGACTAGCTTCGCCTAGAAGGATTAAATGTAATCATTTTGCGTAATTTTTTAGGAGGAAATTAGCTTAGCAGACGTTATCATTTGGGGTACACTATATCCTTTTGTTGATAGTAGTCCAGCTTCTGTCAATGGTAAGGTTTAAGAGTCTTGCTTAGTATCTAACATAAAGTGGAGTGAAAATGATTATAATTCTATGAGCATAATTTTATTATATATCGCTATAATAGTAGCAAAAAAATATAAATCTGTCCATACTTGGTATCAACGCTTATCGTCCATGGATGATTTTAAAACAGCAGTCAATGAAGCCACAGGAAGTAAAGGGGTAACAGCTTTCAAGGTAGTTGGGACAATGTATACTATATTCTTTTAATTAATTAGGGATAAAATGAATCACACTGAATCAGATTAAGCTACAACTTAAATTACCACTTTGGTATATAATTTTAGAATTATTTCCAACAAGCTCCTATACCTTCAGTGTCTTTATCAACCTCACAATCTGTAACTGAAGATAGTGAAAATTCTGTTACACAAGACGAAATTGACGAAGCGTATCATGCGTGGACATCAGGACGTGAAAATTATCCAAAGAGAGAGAAACGGCCCCATCCTCTCTTACCACAAGAAGGAAAACGCAACATTCTATTAACTAGTGCGCTACCGTATGTCAATAATGTACCACATTTAGGCAACATCGTTGGTTGCGTTTTAAGCGCTGATGCATTTGCTAGGTAAGTTTCAACCTTAGCAATTGAATATTTTAATTGCAACCCTAAAAGAATCATATTGTCGTTCTTGTTTTCAATGATAAGATATTGTCGTGCACGCAATTATAATATACTATATATATGCGGAACTGATGAATACGGAACAGCAACTGAAACTAAAGCTGTCGAAGAAGGAGTTACGCCTCAACAAATTTGCGATAAATACCATGCTCTCCACGCGGAAGTCTATAAGTGGTTTGACATAAGTTTTGATCATTTTGGCCGTACAACAACGAAAGAACAGACCGAGTATGTAACGAATAGCATAATGGAGTTATAGAATGAATCGACATGCATTGTTTTCTTCCATTCTTGTTACTGATGAAATAACACAATTACTTAAATAGAATTGCACAAGATATATTTTGGAGGCTACAGGACCGCAATTATGTTACTGAAGAGAATGTAGATCAACTCTTTTGTGAAAATTGTCAAAGGTGATAATGGCATTGCAGATTATTCCACTGTTACAATTAATAAGCATGTTAAATCTTAGTTTATGCTAGTATACGTTTACTTTATAGTCAATTAATAGATTTAATTAATAAAACTTAATTATTTTTCAGATTCTTAGCTGATCGTTTTGTAGAAGGGACTTGTCCGTTTTGTACATTTCCTGATGCTCGCGGAGATCAATGCGACAAATGTGGAAAGCTCATTAATGCAATAGAATTGAAGGTAATTGCTGGGAGTGCTGTTGAGTTGCAACATTGTGCAAAGTTATTCGCTCATTAAATCACTTAATATTTGGCACTGATGATGCTATATGTAAATGTCATCGTAGGCACCCAGATGTAAAGTTTGTAAATCGCAGCCAGTTATTAAAAGCTCTAAACACTTATTTTTAGACCTCCCTAAGGTAATCACAAACATAACTTGTGCCAATGACAGACATAACAAACTCTTTTTTACATAGTAGTAGTATTATACTTAATTTATTCGATATTTTTAATTACGATTGGAAATTAATAGATTGAGCCCCAACTTCATAAGTATTATGGACGACCAGATTCCTTGACTGACTGGTCACCAGCTGCTCGTAACATAACTCAAACTTGGCTTCGTGATGGCGTTAAGAGCCGTTGTATCACGCGAGATTTGAAATGGGGTACTCCAGTACCACTGGAAGGCTTTACAGAAAAAGTATTTTACGTTTGGTATGATGCTCCTATAGGGTTAGTATATCCTGCTATACAAACTTCTCATAGCCGCTGCGGGATCCCTAGCGACAATTGCAAGTACTATCACATTTGCGCTATTGTTAAACTATTCAAAATTTTTTATATTTATAGCTATATCTCCATCACTGCGGCGTATACGGACCAATGGGAGAAATGGTGGAAAAACCCTCAAAATGTAAATTTAAGTTCAAATCATGACATAATCATGCCATGCCATCTTTGTATATGTTACAGTCAATAAGTTATTTTAATTGTGCTTATATTCTATGCTTTTTCAGGTGGAAATGTACAATTTTATGGCTAAAGATAATGTACCATTTCATAGCATCATCTTTCCAGCTTGTCTTTTAGCTGCAGATGATAATTACACTGTAGTCAATAAACTCAGTGCTACTGGTAACTACAATACTTTATTAAATTACGTAGAATAAACCGTTGACGTAGACTTTCTTGCCGATTTCTTAATGGACAGTAAAGTATTTTATTTTTAAATTCATCTTAATTATTCGATTAGAATACCTCAATTATGAAGATGGAAAGTTTTCGAAAAGCCGCGGCATTGGTGTTTTTGGAAATGATGCGAAAGCGACTGGCATTCCTGTTGACATTTGGAGATTTTACTTACTTTACGTTAGACCGGAAACTCAGGTAGAGTTGAATAAATTATTGATATAAGGGATTAGTCAATTGCTAATTGTATATGCAATGATTATAATTTTAAATAGGATAGCTCATTCAGTTGGTCTGATTTAGAAGCTAAAAATAATTCAGAATTGTTGGCTAATCTTGGCAATTTTGTTAATCGGTACGAAATACTAAAAGTTACAATGTATTTATTCTATTGATAATAAGTAAACATTAATTCTAAGCTACTAATCGTATAATAATTTCATGCTTTATATCTTATTATAGTGCTATGTTGTTTGTGTCCAACTTTTTTAACGGCGAAATTCCAGAAATGGATTTAATTGAAGAAGATAAGGTTTTACTTGCTCAAATCACTCGTGAAATTCGTACATATAATAACAATTTGGAAAGAACTAGGTAGGATGAGTTACGACTGGTTATAGTTTATGTTCCCTCCAAGGGTTTTGACGTATTGCAGCAGTTTTAAATTATTTATGGTTGGGAAAAATGCTGATTGTTTGTAAATGTAGAATACGCGATGGAATAAGAAATATTTTAAGCGTTTCTCGATTGGGAAACCAATATATGCAATCCCATACTCCGTGGAAACTTGTTAAGCAATCGGAAGCAGACAAGTAATGCGAAAGTTTCGTTCTTTTGATTTAGCAAAATCATATATTTTTTTCTATGCATATGTAAACTAATTGCATGCAAATATTGATAGAGAAACTTATTTAGCTCGGTAGAATAGTAATTCGTATTGGTACTGTTACTTTGCAGGAAGCGAGCAGGAACCGTTGTTGGAGTCTGTGCTAATATTACGTGCCTGTTATCGATACTCTTGCAGCCCTACATGCCAACTACCAGTAAAGAAATTTTGTCTCAAGCAAAGGTAAAGTTAATATCGCTATACTTTTTGTCAAGCTATTCTATCGCCCAAATATGAGTTTTAATTATCAACATGGCATAAATTAACATTGCTAACATTTGTGTACGCAGCTAGTAGATGATTATTCGGTGATCACTGACAAATTTGTATGTCTATTACCTGCTGGCCACAGGATTGGCAAGGTATGTTTTATTATCTGATCACTAGATAGCAGTGTAACCGTCAATTCAACAGATATCGTTAATTTAGTTAACATGATCTTTGCTTGTATTGATAGCCGAAGCACTTATTTGAAAAAATTGAACCCAGTAAAACGGAAGAATTTAAAACGAAATACGGTGGTAGAACAAATGCGACTGCGGTAAATTTTGTGGACTGTTTTCACTACTTTATTAAATTTATGTTCGTCATATATAGTAGTTTAACTATCGCTTACATTATCATCAATGATTTGGTATGATAAAGAAGAAGACTGAAACAACCCCGGTCGCAAACGATGTCAAAGAATTAGAAGAGCAAGTTTCAAAACAGGTACCGTAAATTGTTTAGTCAGCAGTGGTCTACTGGAATGACATTGATGCTAAATAGGATGATTAAAAAGTAAAAGGAATGGTACGGTATATCGAATGACGATAAACTGTAATTGTTACTTTAGGGTGATCTTGTTCGACAATTAAAGGCAGATAAAGCTGAAAAATTTGTAATTCAATCGGAAGTGCAGAAACTTCTTGAATTAAAGAAGCATCTAGCTATAGCTAAGGGCGAACCAGTACCAAGCAAAGACAGTAAAAAGAAAAAAAAAAAATAGTAATACGTGATATAGTTGGCAAAGTAATCTAGTCTGCTTTTTACATTTTATACAAGTCAGACGTTAAATACAACTAAGAATGCTTATCATTACTGTGGTCTAGTAATATTTTTCAATTTGAATTAAATAATGCTGGGAGTCCGATTTTAGAAATTGTAAGAATGATAGCGATACATTTTTGCTTGTATAGATTATTACTCGCGCAGAGGTTAATTTAATTAATTTTTAACACTTATGGTTTTTATGCAGTTAAGTCGAATTAAAAAAGTTAACTAAAAAGGTGCGCAATCTTAGTTATGTATGTTGGCTACTGTTTTAGCTCATTCTTAAAGGTATAGTAATACGAGTGCATATCGTTCCTAGCAACTGGATAATCTTGGTTTACTACTAAATTTAAAAGAAGAAATTGTGAAAATGCACATAAACGGTGGCTGATTTTTTATAGTGGGTGGGTGGCGTTAATCAATGGAATAATTGAATATGATAACATATGAAAATGGCTTCAAATTTCATCAGGAACAATATTTTAATCGAATCAGCACTATTATTTTATAAAAATTCGTTTAATGCCGATGATCAAGATCTTCATGTGTGAGAAATTTAGTCAAGTTTAGTTGTTAAATTATCAAAGTCTTGAGGTATAGTATACGATAGCCTAATGCATATCAGGGGAAAGGAATAATCACTGCCAACAGTAGCCGAGAGTATATAATTCTTATGCATGTTAGGGGTATATAATAAGTACGCTCTTTTAATTAGGTAGGAGGGCGTGATAAAGTCCTTGCAAATGGATTCTAAAATATTGCATCAAAAATACCATCGCTATGGTACATTTATAGTGTATACCTATATTTTAGAAAGAATTTCTATCACGTTTAATGTTCAGGACTATTAGATTGAAATAAATGATCTTGTTATAATATGCTCATATGATTAATAGCACCTTTGAAATTCATGAAAAATTATTTATTAATTAGCTTGATGAGGAGAACAGTGATATTGCAATATACCTTTTTATAAGATATCTATTTTGCATCATACCAATGAAACCGTGTTAATTACATCTGCCTTAGCGATGATGACATCGTAGTGTGCATACTAGCTAAATGTAGCTACTAAATACAATAAATTTTTAGCTGTAGATTATTTTATAAATTGTATATTCTATGTGTAATGTAAACCAACACATTTGTAAGTATAAGTGATAAGATGTAAGTAGCTTGGAAGGAGCTTACATCCACACTGCTAGAAGTAGGAGTTTCTGTCACTGGATTTGTTGGTTTCAGTATTGCTTCAGTCGACTTTCTCGTCGGTGGAATAGTAACCGTTGATGTTCCATTGACTGTAAAATAATTTAATTACTCCTTCATTGTCATGCAAGAATGAATGCTGGCTATACAATATTTGTCTTAGTTTATTCTATCTACGCGTAGTAAGTCTAGCTTGTATTTTATAATATCTTCATAGCCTCCGACACTTGCAACGACTATGATCTATACTATTCATATAGATGAGCTATAAATAGGAAGTTATAGTTCACTTTGTCGTCTTATTTGACAAGTTACTGGTACTTATTAACTCGTAAAACCTGAAGGTTAAAATAAGGAATTGAACAGTAAAGCAGCTACGTTCTACTTTACGCAATCTGCTATAGTATGCAGAATAGTTTAATTCATCTGATTAACATTGTAGATCTTAGCTGGAAAGAGTAGCGAGAACTGTCAAGGAAGTTCACTTTGGAAAACAAATCGACCAAACACAGACCTGATTCATACCAGCTAAATATGTTTAAGCTATTTATGAAACTGATATGGACGATTGTAGATCGTTTATAAAACCTGTCTAGTATGTGCTATTTTCTAAGTATACTATCATACTTTTTCTATCTGACATCAAAATTAACGCCTACCAGAAATATAGGAAAAAACTTACGCATATTTTGCATTGGTTGGTATAAAATTAGATCAGTTATAGTTTTACATAAAACTTGTTTATTTTGATATTGGCAAGGCCTGGGACAGATTAAAATTTATTCAAATTTAGCGTAAAACTGTAGCTAGTAAGATTTAAGAAGCATGGTAGCCTAAGGTAAATAGCTACAAAATGTGACCAGTACGCATAGTTAAGTATTAGGAAAAGTGATTTTTAAAAACACTCTTATTTAGAGTTTAAGGGCCAATTTGATTCAGTAAGGTAAGAAAATGAACTTACTGACAATTTTAGCAGTAAATGAATTCAATAAGATATCCTGAAAAAACTTCATCCTTTTTTTTGTACTCTCTGTTAGGCTAAGCCTTTGTGAAGCATATTATGATCACGTTAGAATACTGTCATGTGATTGCTAGCTTATTTTAATAGCAATTTTAGAAATGAGATAATTGGACATCTTTTATTAATTTCTAAGCAAATACATTAGACTAATTGTATTCGAGGCACAGCTTTTTGCCTATGTAGTAGATCGGAAATTTCTTATTGGTTTAGGGTTTGATATTTAGTTAAATATGTAATCAATTCACATCTATTCATAGCGATGAGGCAATATATTAATATTGGTTAACATTTGTAATTGGTTAGATCAGCCACATTTTACTGATGATTTTCAATATTGATATTGACTCTGGTTTATTCGTATTTGCATTTAAAAATAGATACTGTACTTGATTAATAAGCTAATGCCTTTATGAAACCGCATAATAGCGCCAGTATTATTTCTAGTTCTAGTTAAATGGTAGTATCAGTCTTTGTTTTGAATTAAAGCTACTACTGTTATTATTTTTAAAATGAGGCCAGGAAGAGTTTAATGGACTCATTACACTACCTAAATAGCTACAGTTGAGATGAATATACGAGTGCACGAGTATAAGCCAAGCATGAGACTTAAAATAAAACTATACAAATTATGATTAACGGCTAGAAGGTTTTAATGGACTCATCACATTAGTTAATTACGACTTTATTCCTTGATAGCACTTTATATCTATATGTCAATTTGTATGAGGCATACGAAAACAACGTTTTTCATCAATTCTGTTCAAAATTGATACTGATTAAACCTACATCATTTCAAATTTCGTTATAATGCTTAATATAAGAAAGGCGGCTTAATTTTAAATTCCAAATGTTTAAATTAATTTCAGACGGTTTCAAATTGAAGTATTAACCGTGATATACATCAATTTAAGCACATCGCTATTTCATTACTTACCAACGCATGGGTACTGTAAACAACTGCTGCAGCTTTATAGCTATCGAAGTAAGCATCAATCAAAGACTTAGTTTTATTGTCATTTATGCTATTAACTTTACATCATGCCAGATAGGTAAGTTAATAAGCTTAGGATTAAGGTCAAGAGAATATGCTTCGATTGATAATATCCCAATGCTGCGTTATTGTTAGGAACTGTTGTCTGTTCTGTTCCGTGATTAATAGTTGCTGTAGCTGTTCCATTAACTGTAATAGCAATAATAGAAAGTTAATAGATTGTTAAAGAACGAAACGAGATTATTGACATGCTAATATGACCGTATTGCGCATTAATAGGAATGGATACAATTTGTCTAACTCAATTAGTATTACCATGCAAGCCATGGGTGTTGTGAATAACGAGGTTATCTATAGCAAAAACAAACGATGCTGGAGGTCCATAATAATCCCATGTAATTCCAATCAGCATCTAGAAATGATGGAATAGAAATTGAATCTTGAAGAGCTTTCCGTTAAAGCATTGTTATAAAAGCTACTGTGATATGAGTTAAGTTATAAATCACTATCAATTACTAGGAGTTATTTCCTCTATTAGCTAAAAATAAATGACTCAACTTATCAATCTCCTTTGCAATGCGAAGTCGTGCATATAAACTTACTGTAAATTTTTCGTAGGTATAAAATCCATTGCTTGCATCGGCCTCCTTAAATTTTTGCCATCCATTAGTAGCATAAATTGGATAATAGGAATAGCTTGAACCACCTTCTGAAGAGCCTGGAAGATTTTCATAGGCTATGAGTAAAGTGACATTGGTTAAGACCCCCGCAGCATATCGATCTAAAGTTGTCTAGAAGTGAAATAATTGAAATAGAAACCAGTAATTTAGCCTAAGATGTAACGCGCTACTTTTAAAATCTCTAAGCTCAATTCTCTAATCGGCTAGTAATTGGAAAGTAGTACAACATCGAAATTAACGCGAAGGAACATACTTTAACAGAACCCGCAGATGGATTAGGGGTTAATAAAGGGCTAGTCAAAATAATTCTTCCTTGAGATACACCATAAGGGGATCTGAATACATACATGTAGCCTCCATTGCTCAAGACTAATTACCATATTGATAAGAAGGGAATACAAATTAGAAATGGAAATGGATTACTGTTTTCTTGTTATACGAATAACAAGGTCATTTGATACTCTAAGAGGATGATCAGGAAGTAAATTGTAATTGACCTGATTGAGTTGGCTTAAATGGAACACTATCGTTTTGACGCCAAATCCATCCTACATTATTGTATACTTCCCATCCACATAAACCGCTGGTAAATTGGCAATTGGTTGGTTCATTATTGGTATCTAAAATGTTGTTGATTAAGAATTAGAATAAGCAATAGCTACTATATCGTCAATATTGAAATATTATTTCTGTAATCAACAAGACACGTACAGTAATAGCTCTGTTTAGGGATGCAAGCAACTGTTGCAGTTTGACCTTTGCCATTTAGGCATGGCTCTGGCCTAGTTGCAACATTCGCTGCACATTGTGAAAGTTTGATCTCATATCCAGAACAGTTGATCGATCTTACGATGGATAAGGGATAAATCGTGGATGATGGTGGGTTAACTGGAAAAAGTGTTGAATAAATGAGTTTTATTTTATATAGAAAATATCTTCATTCAGTGTGGTTGATCATTGCATTCTAATTATTTCAATTATAACGAAATAGAATTAGCTTAATGCTTTACTAGATGAGCTAGAAGCGCCAAGGTAGCCAGCTTGGCGACAGAAAACATCGGCCTCTTTTAGCCCCCAATCTCGATTACAGAATCCGCCAGATTCTTTAGAGTTAATGTTGATATTAGGAATACCAGCATTAGATTTGTTCTGATTAGGATGTTGAATAGATAATAGGTACTTATTCGATGCTATTAAGCAATATAAGGAAATAGTTTGATCAGTAAGTTCATTAGCATCAATGTTGTATGAGTAGCTAAAAATGTTGCCGGGCTACATTTGAAGATTTGTATTTTAAAGTCATCCAGGAGTAAAAGTATAAAATTGGATCTATCGAATAGATTGCAGCAAGCGTTAGGATTGACGTTACTAAGTACAATATTGTCAATATCCTTGAGAACAGGCTACAGAAATTAAACTATTTGGCAAAATCAATCTTACATACGGCATATTAAGTGTAATTAACTCATCTCAGGAGTAAAAGAATAAAATCTACCTAATTTAATTCAGTAAGTACTAGGATTGATGATAATAAGTACAGTGCAATGCTGTCATTATCCTATGATATATACGAAAATGAAATTATTTGGCACAAGCGTTTCTTACTCAAAGGAGATTTTGGAGAAGCCGAATAACATGCTAGCCATTGATTTGCTGTATAAATTTTAGGATTAGCATTAGCAGGAACTGAACATTGAGAAAAGGAAGTTGCTGTTGATGGACATTTAATGTCAGTTAGTTTAATGCAAGTATCGTTATATCGACCAAACGACGAACCTAAGAAGCGAAAATGAATTTGCTTTTAATTTGATGGTAAGATTTCTAAAGGTAGCTATGTCAGCAGAATTGAATATTAGTATAAGACTTACGGGTACTCCAAGTACTTCCCACTTCGCCTAAGCCAGTTTGCTTGCACATTAAATTGATTGCTCGAGCTAGTCCTGGTACTGTCATTGGACTATACCCGTATACATAACATATCCTGTACCAATAGCCATTAACATAAACAGCGGCTTGACCAATCGTTTTGCTTTCAATGTTATCCAAGGAAGTGATGGCGACAGGATTTTGAACTAAGATATGAATGAGTATATATTTATTGTTAGAAGACTTTCTATGATTATTGCTTTAGTGGTCAATTTAAATTTATTGCCACTCTTGTCGAAAGGAATCATTTTTAAGATATGATGAAAAATGGAAAACTACTCAAGGTAGCTAGCAATGCTCAAAAAATAAGGTATCTAGATGCAACTTACATCCTAATGGATAAGGTGGATTAGCAGGGATAGCAGGATTATTGTTACCACAAGCTGAAATACTACAATATTCCCAAACTGCAGTCTTTGATGATGTGTAGCACCATGGTCTATTTCGATTTGCACCAGGGTTTCGGCATTGATTGGAATTTAGCTGGGAGTGTGGGTAGTTGCGAGTGTTATAGGGTGACGAAACACTATCCCATTGCACACAAGCTTTGCCGCTTTCACTAGTAGCGACGGATCCGCGAAAATATTCTCCGGTGCCTGTATAGCATGTCATTTCTAATAAAATACAAGATTAAAATAAGGTGGTGCAAAAGGCTTTTTGCCTGGGACTAATCTTAGAGCAGAATTACTTATACTTCTATTTTCAAATGGAAATATGGATTAGATGCAAAAGATACTCGGTAGTCGCAAAGGAATAAATCTCCAAATAGATTGACATTATACCATAGATATTTGTATCATTACTAAAAGTAAAAAATTCTCGAAATATTTTACTGTAAGCTATTACCATCAGGCGAGGCATGAAAGAAGAGCAGGCCAAATTTGCCCTTGGATTTACCAGGGACTAGAGCACCAAGTTTCCCTCGGATGATAATCTATTAGTAAAAAGATAATAATACTCAGAAGGTTCAACGTGGATTATTTTACAGCCAATCATTATAATCATTTTTTAATAGCAATTTACATGGTAAAGATCTTGATTAGGTAGAAGTGCTCCATAGCTTTGTTGATGTTCTTTGCTTGAAGGCTCAAAAAATGTAGCAGTCTCAACAAGATGCCTTTTCATGCTATACTTTGGGTACATGATATAGATCTTGATGGTAGATTTAGAAAGCTCAAGGAGTTGGGTAATATATCTAATCTGAAAGATAGAAACTCAAAGCTTAACTTAATTCATTATTTAGCCAACAGACGAATGCTAGCTACAATGGCTTAAACAGCAACATTAAATGTTACAATTTTTATACAATGAGATCTAGTCTCATCGCATAATCGTATATTTTAGGTCAAAATAAAGTGCTGTGATGTCTTGTTGGCATATTATTCTTCTTTTTAATTTAGTAGGAATATATAATTACTTACCGAGATAATCATGGTGCCTGGTGGCATTTTCATTGGTGGGCTAATCAACTCGGCGAATTGTCCATCATCATATGTTTTAGTAGTATTGAGGAAAAAGCCAAATGTGCTATCTGTATTCATCGATATTAAAGGATTTGTAATCATTGCATTAATATTATTTGGTTTACTTTTGAATATACAGCAGGCACCGTATACTAAAATAATATATTTATAATAGATCAGCAATGCTTATGCAAAGTTATGGTATCGTATCTTACTGAAGGGAGTTTATCTCTAGATTATCAAAATTACTGTTAAAATAGTATCTTAGGAAATTTGCATTTGCCACTGTCTTGTACTAACCTTGCTTCCAATCTAGAAAATCAATCGCTTTGGCTTGCTTCCATCCACATGCCGATTTAGTAAAATCGCACTTTGTTGCGTATGAGGTATTTTCTGTCATGGAAGAGAATTTGATTCTTATTAGAAAAATTGCAGTATAGCTAGCATATGAATTACAAGGAGATGGCTTTGATTAGAAATTAAAAGAATAGGATTATAATCTGTATATGAATTATGAAGGAGAGGCATGGTGAGATAGTTTGGTTAAAATCTTAGAAAGGTTGAATTATATAACATGTTGCGCATAGCTAGAACATAAACTATGAATAGATTGTAAAATAAAATAGTAATGACTAACAATAAAATTAAACTTATATGAATTTTTCTGTAAGTAAATAGTACGAAGATGTGCTTGGATTGGGATCAAAATATTGATTAAAACAAATCGTAACTTGGATACTATGATAGGGACAGGTTATATTACTTTCAGAAAAGTAAAATAAGAGCGCGATTTAAAACTATAAATAGATGATGCCAAAAGTTTGCTTAAGTCATAATAAGAGGATAAAAACTTTTAATTGTAAACAAATTGGAATTGGAAAATATAGTGGAAAACCAAGATTAGTTAAAGAAAAACTGGAGAGCATGATTTTAAATTACAAACAGATGATGTCATAAGTTTGCTTAAATCACAAACAGAGTATCAAGTTTACTTGCAGACAAATAGGGGAGCTTAATTTTAAATAATAAATAGTATAATGGGCAGCTGAAATCGGATACACAAATAGCTATAATAAATTATAAAAAGATGAAATTGTGGGTTAATTTCGTTCAGAAATAAGGGAAATAAGTCGTTTTTATTAATTGTAGGTGGACATTATTCATGATAGCTTTTTTAGTGGAGAATTCGAGAAATTGAGCTATAGCCTGACAAGATTTACTAATGGTTGGCGTAATGGTATAATTTGGATTAGACTTTAATGAAAGGATAGTTTGTACATAAATTACAAATACAGGTGTGGTGCGATAGCTCAAAACAAAGCTGGAAGATAAGCTGCGTTCTTCCAGTGAACCGGAAATGAATGATACGATTAAAGCTGTATCACCAATTTAATTTCCAATTACTTTACAGTTTCGAAACAGATTTAAATGGTTGTTGGCTAACAAAACAATGTGTCTTTAAATGCAATAGCTCATCAACGTAATTTAATAACGTTAAACTCTATCTTACCGTTAAAGCCATAGATAGATTGAATATTAAATCCTGCTTTCTTGACGCGTTGATGACTTGTTTCATCATATATGTCTGAAACAAGTAAAAAATTTTATTTTTATCTATTTCTAAACCTTAGTCTAGGCTCAGATGACAATGCTTGTATTTTAAATGTTGAACTAATAATGATTAACCGGATATTACAGTAATCAGATAGCTAAAATTACGAGTGTAAGAGTATACACTTTGCCCAAAAATATTTAGCTCAAATGTCTGCGCAGCAAGAATCCAAGCCAATAATGTTGGTAGTGAAAGTGATTTCAGAGTTATTTCAAAGCAAGATGATGAAATAACTCAATTTCAAATAATTTGGTTATAACGCATGAACTAAGGCTATCAAGTAACAAAGATTATATTTTCTTACTTTAGTGAAACTGTATAATTGTGCTCATTTACCTTGAGAATCTGCTAATTTTTTGACTAGCAGCTCATTAAAGGAGTGTTTATGGCGCAAATTTGCAGATTTACAGTAGCCTACTAGTTTTATGTTGGCATTTAGAGCAAGTTCTATTAAGTTTTTGACGCCTTTTTCATCACAAATCGGCTCTTCTTCGACAAATCTATGAATACAGACATTAGTGTTAAGATCCCGCAACGATGATTACAAAAATGTCCGTAAAGAGTTAGCATCACTGATTTGCTCGAAACCACATAGAGACTAGCTTTATAACAAGACAAGTTACTCCGACTGCTACATATTTTCTATATCGCTTTGTGCCTGTATGAGAATTTAAGATTTTAATAATAAAAACAAGATTGAATATAACTACAGACTGCAAATATAACACCTTTAGCTGCCTTTTTTGACTATGGTACAGTAATTTTACAAAATCTAAGGTAAAATTTAACAATATAATCGACAAAGAATAGCAGCAAGCTATTAGACTATTAATTACATTAATTAGTTATAAAATAATTGTACCCTTTCTTTAATAGTTTTAACTGCACGAATACTGTATGCTAATTGTAGTAAATTTAGAAATGTAAGGCTTTAAGAAACAAATAGAAATAATTTCCAGTATCGTAGGATCAAATTTCTCAGGAAAAAGAAGAAGAAGAAGAAATAATAATTTAAAGAATCGTAATAGACTAGAAGTAGGCAGTGTTACCTAAAGTACTCGTAGTGATAGAAAATTAATATCGTGGGTCATTATTGATGATTCTATTAGAACTTACAGTTGTTTTATGCCCTCTGGTATAGCTGAAATCGAAGCAGGTATAGCTTTACATCGAATATTTTCATCTTGGCAATGGCAATGATCAAGACATCGTGAAGCCCAATTAAAATCATGATGGGCAGTATTACAACCAATTGAACTGAACAGGCAAGGCAATATTAAGTAAACGACTAAATAGATTATACGCGAATCCATAGAATTATAGATAATTTCTCTCGATTTAATTACAGATAAGTTAGTTTAAGATGTAATCCGAAATAATCAATATATCTTATTACAGTAAGTCGTGATTAGCTTTTTTCTGCCTATAAATTAGTTATTCTTATCCTTTTTATCTATTTCAACTTTCATAATTTATTTACTTGCGTATACCTAAGTATGTGTTATTTATTTAGCTAACGAATACAATCACGTGATAATGATTTTGAAGAATATTGAATTGTGAGATAGTAAAGGAATTTTATTCACATCTATTTGAATAATAAAGCAATTAAATTCCTTAATGGTACTGTGATTTAACCTCATGCATTGTAATGCAAATAGCTTTGGAAAAATAGCTCTCAATTAAGCTTGGTATGTAATCAAATCGGTGGCTAAAGATAGCACTTTGGGTGGTGATATTGATACTTCTTATAAATCCTATTGGTTAATCTGTTGCACTATTATACTTAAAGAATTTTAAGGATACCAGTAGCTGTTATACTTTTGTTTCAAGTGAAGATCAGTATTATCCGACTTAAGTACATTATAGTTATGTAATATACAGTACTAATTATAGGGATATCTTAAAAGTTCCTGCTAATTAATATCATGTGTCTTAATTAATTATTTGATAATACGCTAGTAATATCCTTTTCAATTCTGCGAAGTCTACTATGCTATTTTTAGCTAGCATTAGTTAGAGGTAATAAAGGTTATTATTTAGAATTCTACTTCAATATTTTATATTGTAATTAGTATCGTAGCTTGTAAAAATAGCTCATTTTATTGGATTGCTGTACATTTTACTTGGTATCTTAGTATGTTGTGTGCCCGTTTACATTATTCGGGTTGGAATTGAATAATATCTGACAGCATAATTTTTTCAAGAATTATATCAAGCAAGATTGTAATTTAAATGATCTAGTTAGTTAATTAGAAGAACACTTAAGCTTCAATAGTGATAAATCTGATATTATTTTTAACTATAAGTGCAGTAAACGTTATGTTACTTTGCCATCAAATACAGCAGAAAGGTGCCCAGATAGTACCCGTCAATATTAGTATACGATGTAGGGGAAATTTGTTGATTATGAATTGTTCTTGGACGGTGTGATATCAACGTCTAAAAGTATATTAAGATTAGCAGTAAACAGCGATTACTATGAGAATCTAGGCAACAGGTCAAATTAATAGATCTCATCTGCTCAGCTG